TTAGACTAGGTAATAGGTGGATGGAAGAGTGGCAACACACTAATTTGTCTTAATGCCTTGATGCTGGTCAATAGAACAAGCAGAGTTTATGCGCTCCCGACACGCAGGTCAAATTTGTTACACGAGCGTGACTGAGTAACTCTAATGGGTACTGCGTTAACGTGTGTGTGTGTGTGTGTGAGAGAGAGAGAGAGAGAGAGAGAGAGAGAGAGATTTGCGTCAATACCTCGCAATTTAGGTTTCAATCTCGTCAGGAATCTCTTTTACATTACAGTCAAGGAAATCTCTGAAACCTTGTAAGAGGATTGTAAACCAGGGAGGCTGTCAAGTCTTCATTGTTTATTCATCTACGTATCAATGTGGTGTAGGATTTTCAGCTTTATGATCAAAACAACCCAGCGTAAACTTCCATGGACACTCAGCCAGACAGACCACGCCAATAATTGCCAAGATTATAACTGATAATAGCCAGTGCCATCCATTACGATAATTTATTATAGTACCTCTATAAACCTATGTATAATTACGTGTTTGTACTTACAGATAATTATATTAAAAAGTCGTATATGAAATACGATTGTAATTGGAAGGTAAATAAACGTAAGAATGATCTCTAAACCATTTGAAGTAGTGGTAGGAACTTTTATTTAAGGTGTAACAGATCGTCACCTTTATGTTTATGCTGTATAGATGCTAAAATAATGGTCACATTATCAATATCAAAGTGAATAAAGAATATGACCCAATATATCACGTGAAACAGTTTATACATATTCTAACACAAATCTATTCCTTTCTCTAACCTTAATTCTTGGAACACATCTCTTTATATCACGTATGTTAGTTACAGCAGATCTTTTCTTCTGTTTTGTGTTGGACTGTGACTTGGTTCCTTGACGCGGCATTGAACAGAGGAATTTTTTGACTACCGAGTATTGCAGAGTCTTGTGTGCATTATTCCCTGGCTGCTAAATCAATAACATACTGTAGTTTCAATGTTGGTGTATATATTATTCAGTTCTTTGTGTATCAGGTTTTCGTTAATTTCTTGGTCAGTATTGTTAAATTTATAAACACAGAAGACCATAATAAAAGAATTCTGACTGAGTTACTCGTGACTGCACTTACACAAATTCTAAATTATTTTTCCATTATACTGCAACGTATTATAAGCTACTCTTATGATTAATGGACCTTTTATCAACCCACATACTATTGCCATCAACAAAGCGATATTTTCTTATATGTTCTCTGGGGTTAATGTTAGGTTAGGTTAATACACGAGGTTAAGACGTGTAAAATGAGGTACTTTTTATGTCTCAAGTGTCTGTCAATATTGCGTCGGCTGGCTCTCGCGTCCGGTACTGCGCCGATAGTGTGTTAATGTAGGCGTGGTGGGCACTTACTCTGCTTGCGTCTGTGGTGGTGCTTGTGTCAGTAGTGCATCATAATATAGCCTAGAGGAGATGAGATTTGGAGATAATTAGCCCCTTGAGTACGATGATTTAACCTCCTGAGTACGATGACTTAACCCCTGAGTACAGTGATTTAACCCCTTGAATACAGTTTCGTCGTATTCAAGGAGGCCAACTCTCTGTACTCAAGGGGTTGTCATCGTTTTCAAGGGTTAAGTCATCGCACTCAAAGGTTAAGTCATCGCACTCAGGGGTTAAGTCAACGCACTTAAGGGTTATCGAATTCAAGGGTTCATTCATCGTCCTCAAGGGTTAAGTCATCATACTTCAGGCTTACCCTTAAAAATATAAAATTACCATACTATTTTGCGGTAATTCAAAGTTCATAAATAGTAGTCAAAGTTCTGGAAAAGACAATTTAACTGTATTTCTCTCACAAAAAAAAAAAACACGCACAAATATTTCCAGGTACAGTTGTAATAGGGACGTAGGCTGCCTCTCACTCAGCAGCGACTCGATATAATGGATAAATATCAAGTGTCACAACCCCGGTCTCTGCCAGTGATGGTAGTGGCACTCTGGTGGTCAGTTACTGCCCATAGTAAGTGTCCACATAGTCTAAAGTGTCTTCATAGTCTAAAAGTAAGTGTTCACATAGTCTGAAAATAAGTGTCCTTGTAGTCTAAAGTAAGTGTCCACATAGTCTAAAAGTAAGTGTCCTATTAGTCTAAAAGTAAGTGTCCACATAGTCTAAAAGTAAGTGTCCTAATAGTCTAAAAATAAGTGTCCTAATAGTCTAAAAGTAAGTGTCTTCATAGTCTAAAAGTAAGTGTCCTAATAGTCTAAAAGTAAGTGTTCACATAGTCTGAAAGTAAGTGTCCTTATAGTCTAAAAGTAAGTGTCCACATAGTCTAAAAGTAAGTGTCCTAATAGTCTAAAAATAAGTGTCCTCATAGTCTAAAAGTAAATGTCCTCATAGTTTAAAAGTGTCCTTATAGTCTAAAAGTAAGTGTCCACATAGTCTAAAAGTAAGTGTCCTAATAGTCAAAAAGTAAGTGTCCTAATAGTCTAAAAGTAAGTGTCCTAATAGTCTAAAATTGTCTTCATAGTTAAAAAGTGTCCTAATAGTCTAAAAGTAAGTGTCCTCATAGTTTAATAGTGTCCTAATAGTCTAAAAGTAAGTGTCCTCATAGTCTAAAAGTAAGTGTCCTCATAGTCTAAAAGTAAGTGTCCTCCACAAACAATTCTCTAAGCTCATTTCATACTCTGATAGCCTCATCGAACTTGTTTTGTTAGTGTTGGATAAGCTGTACACATACCAGCTCAGCAGTGGGGTATGAAGGCGATAATTTCCAAGGTTATGCTCCCACATCGATCATAGAATAAGTTATCACGTCGAACACAAGGACAACTGTGTAAACAAGACCAGTGCCAAGGTCATTCAGTATCATAATGTGTTACAACAGTCTGGGTGAGTGTTTCATGTTAAGTGGGCATCTAGCCTAATAGACCATAGTGTGATATAGACGTAGGAATAAGAGATCATTAGGCTTAGGTTAGGTTAGGGATGTGTAAGAGACTGTCCTACCACTTCAGGTGATGGGGTGAAGGTGGTTAGTCTGCAGGAGGACATCTGGACGCCTTACGCTGGGAAGGTATACGCCAGGTACAATTTCAACAGCGGGCAGGTGCTGGAGAACCTCACCGTCTGTTACCGCCTGATGCCAACCACCTACGCCCTCCACACCGAACACCTCTCCCTCCATGGTCAAAACGACATCCTCGAAATTGGTAAGTGAAGGATGATGTTGTCGAAGGTTCAGCCTCAGGAGATAAACTATCTCTTATGCAAGTTTACCTGAGCTTCAAGAGACGTAGACGAATTCAGCACAATATTGTCACCTTCATGTATTTCACCTGTTAGTTTCACACCATTTTTTTTTTTACGAAATGTTATTGGTTTTTTAAGTAAACAGGTTAGGTGTTTACATATATATCATTATCACCCATTGGCACACACACACACACACACAGACTGAGGCATATAAACAAACAAACATAGATTAACATATAAACAGGCACACTAAGACATAGAGACAAAACACACACAGTGAAAAATAATGTCATATATTATTAATACACAAACAGTTTACCGCCGCCTCTAATACCCACATGAAATATTAATTAGTCCCGCCTGCTGGTGTGCTACGTGAGTCATGCATTATAGCACCCGCCATCTACTGACCACACACACTATAGTTTATGTGTATCAACCCCCGTCGCCACAGAATATATTACAAGGGAAGTTTTAGACAATTGGTGAAGGAAAGGTTAATTTTGTGTTTTTTTTTCCAGTGTTGATAAATATTCGTATACAAGATATGGATTGTATTGTGAAAAAAAGGAGGGCATAATCTTTCACATGTGGGAATAAAAACTTAAGACCAGTTTCATTAGTGTTTAGTTAAGAATCCTCATTATCGTCTAGTTCCTAAAGCAATACTAGAGTTATTTTTGAAGTTATTAAACATTGAATTTATAAACATTGTTACTCGGGTATCAGAGATCGTAATGTTAGTAAACTGTATTAGAATGTTTTAGGTTAAATTTGCGTTAAGAAGTTTGTTAAGGAGAGGTGCTAAATATTCACTGCGTGTTGGTCTCCGTCTCTGTACCCCGTGAAGAGTTATTTAATGTTGTACAGGATGTTAATAATATTTTTTGCTAGTTTTTTTAACATATTGAAATGTTTTAGGACTAATAGCTTTAATCAAACAAGTAATTATAGCTGACTATCTCCAATTGAAGTCATTATATATGTAGATTAGATGTTTTACAGTGTTTATCGTGAGTTAGCTTCATGTTTGTATATCTATAGATTTTGTATTCAAACATCGAGTCTCTTGTTCGTGTCAAGGTCATTAGATTATGAGATTAGTATTAGAAAAAGGTGTTAGTAACAAGTTAAGTTTGGTTTGTTATTGCTGTTCGTATCGTCACCTTATTTTTTTATAATCATCGAAAATACAATAAACATGTTCACTCCTGAATGTTGTCTTAAGGTTAATCTTTGACTGTCCTCAGCAACCTACCTGAACCGGCTGAGGGTGGTGTACAACGGCAAGATGCGGGTGAAGGCGCTGAGGGAGTACAGTCACCAGCTGCCCCTCGCCCGTTGGTCTCACTTCTGCCACGTGTTTCAGCGGCAGCACTACACCCTCTATATCAATGGTAGAGAGGTGAGTTATTTGTGTCATGCTTCCCACTTCACATATCAGGCGATCCTCATCTGCCTTTATCATTCAGTCTCAGCCATCAAAGGCAAAATGACATACAGGCAGAGGTGCCCAGTAACGTAGTGGCAGTACGGTACTTTCTTACTTTACTCAATTAACTTTTATATTGTTATTTTTGTACACATTGCCTCGTTACTTTTGGAAGTATCCACCATGGACTGAATTTAGATAAACCAATCAGAACCATTACATTTGACCATTCCCATTATATATAAAAAATCACACATCCCTGTTGTAATCATCAATATTGTTTTCTTTCTCCTGTACTCGTATGTATGGTGACAGGCTGTTAGCGGACTGATGGAGCTGGAGGGCAGCAGCAGCTCCCTCACCCTGGACGCCACACTCGTCCTGGGTCAGGAACAGGACGAACGCTCAGGAGGGTTTAATGTCCACCAACGATTTCTGGGCCGCATAACGCAGATGAACTTTTGGCAGCGAGTGTTCTCTCATGAGGAGGTAAAGTCACTGGCCTTGTGTGAACAGAATATCTCTGGTGACGTCTTCTCAACTGACGCTAACGAACTGGAGATGGTAGGGGGAGCGTTTACCTTTGAGGTTGCTCTAAAGGACCTATGTACAACAGAGGACAGGTATGTTATCTTTCCCGAAGAACACACTATAGCTGAGGGAGAAGCCTTCTGCCAGAGGCTCGGGAGCAGCGTGTACACCCCGCGAAATTTCGAGGCGAGCAAAAAGCTGTATCAGGACGCCATGCAGTTCGCCAACGTCTATACCAATGCCTTGGTGTTCCTCGGCGCCTCAGACCAGGAAGAGGAGACTGTGTGGCGGGACAAAGCTACCGGGGAGGAGATCACCAACATGACACAATTTTTCAGCGACAGACCAAACCCGGAGCAGAATTGTCTCTATCTGACGAAGGTAACAACAAGAGCAAGTTGTGTTATCGGTCTTAGATAATTATATTTACTCTTCAAATTAAAAACTTAACAATCGCACGCTGCTAAACGGATGTAACATTAATTTAGCCTCCAATGGATGTAATATTACCTTGTCTCCAATAAAATATACTCGATATCTTTATATTTGCGTCGTTTAGCCGGTGAAATACTGTATACTGTATACTGTATTTCAAAATGCTTCACTAATAAATAAATAATCTTCCCACTGTCATTACAGAATATTTTACTACGTCCAAACATGTGTTCAGACAGACACTACTCAAAGTTTAAGATTAAAAACAGTTTCAACCAAACATACATATTGTAAAAAGAATCTGCGAAACCTATATCTTACTCTTCTCTCGATTAAGTGTCCCTAAATTACGTTTCCTATGTTGAATGTAAACAAAAGAATAACTAACAGACATAAAAGCTTTTAGTTTGTACCATTCTGTAGCCTTAACTAAATAACTTTTTCCTTTTATGTGGCCAGAGAATATGACACAGAAGTTGACTGATTTTCTGTTCTCTAGTGGATGAAACCTGAATTAGCCGCATCACCAACTGTTCCAAAATTTATAATTGTGTCATTTGATAGATAATACAGAGGTCTTGTACAAATTTCATTTACATCTGCCCACTGTTTATACATCCCTCTCTCGAAGGTCATCATGTTTGGAGAGCATCATACGTTCAGTGCCTTGGTAGACGTTATTTTGTCTCACTTTATTATGTAGACGAGTCTTGGACAGTTCAAAGGTGTGATTCCTGATGTTATTATTATTATTACTTGAGCTCAGTACTGGATAAACTTCTTGTGTTATAATCGTTGCATCATCTTTAATATCTCGATGATACCCCACACAACAAATAAGATACTAGTTACAGATTTTCACCCACTCTTGTGTAGGAAAGAAGGAACTGGTGTGCCTTTAGTTATAGTTATGATTTTATTTATAAGTTATAATTTTAGTTAAAGGTTTATGAATTATATGGTTGTGGCTTGTGTTTGTGTGATGTTTAAGAGTTAACTAATACGCTGTGCACAGTTGACAGGGGTGTGGGAGGACATCCGGTGTGAGAGTGGGTGGTGGGCCTGTACTGTGTGTGACACCCTCCACCCCCAAGTCCTCATCCTACGCGGGTTGTGTTACCAGAACCCAGACATGATTCACTTCTTCGTCGATGGCTACAAGAACGATAAACCATTCTTCCATGGAGCTTTTGGTTATAATATTTACTACGAGGGACTTGGTAAGACTGCAGGAACAGACCAGTTTGTTCAGCCTTTTATTGTTGATTTATTAACTTAATTCTTATGTAATTACACATTAAATTGATTATGCATTATGGCCCCGAATAATTTTGATATAAATCCTTATGTGCCAAGTTTATTAATTCTGATAATACCGAACAATATATTTTAGGGGGAAATTTGGTGAACAAAATATGTCGTAATAGTAAAACAAAAAATACAATGTTAACCTAAAGATAAAATTGAGTCTCCTTAAATGACACTATTTGAGTACTCAGACAGTTGAACATAACTCTGGAGATTCGCTACAGAATAAATAACAGTTTTACAGGTGAGAGAGACAAAACAAGGTAACCCTGGTGAGTGGCTCTTCGACAGGTCAATGGCGGCTGTGGGACTCCCAGAGCAACAAGACAGTGGCCAGGCTGGAGCTGCCTTCCTCATCCCTTTACCCACTGGGCCGCCATACCTGGACGACCCCCTCACCAGTGTGCAAACGGACATCATCCACTGTTGTCCTCAGCCTCTCCTCCTGCACACACGACCAGTTCATGTGCAGGTATGGGGGCGCGACAGTATACGGCTGGGGTGGGGGGGGGGGATTCCCATATCTCTGAATAAAATCTTGACATCCATTTCTGTTTGGCACAGTTTGTGTTTAGTATTTCCATCGTTAGTATGTTAGTTAGTGGTAGGGAGTTACTTCTTACTCTATATATAGTGGTCATGATAATGTCTTGTTTCGTATAGTTATGAAGAGAAGAGGCTCAAATGGAACTGCTTTTAATGAGCGTCCTGGAGTTTTATTTATAACCAAATTTTTTATTACTTCCCCATAACTAATGTGTTTATGATAAAGTAGGAGTGTTGTGTCCGCAGATCAGGCGACTGTGTAGAGAACGAAGCTCGGTGTGACCTGTACGATCACTGCCCAGACAAGTCGGACGAGGACAATTGTTCAGTTGTTAAGGTATGTGTAGCCCTCGCTCTCTGTCACCAGCCACTGAACACCACCACTGTAATATCATGATTGTTTTTGGTAATGCTTGTGTCTTAGTTTCCGCCAGAGTACAAAGGTGACCGACCTCCCAGAGGGTTTGTTGAGAGTGACCTGTTGTTACTCTCCCCTACGGTGTACATCTTCCGTGTGGTTAAAGTCAGTGACCTAGAACAGTCATTCACGGCGCTTCTTGTCGTAGAAACCCGTTGGCAAGACCCAAGACTCACTTACCACAACCTGAATGACAATTTTTACCTGAATAAGCTGTCCCTTGAGGATAAAGGGCGCCTCTGGATTCCAAGATATAGCTTTCAGAATGCTTATGATGGCGACATACACCTGCTTCGGGAAGAAGTCTATGTAGAGAAGATCGGAAATGCCTCCATCCGAGACTTCAACGTCGTCAATATGGGTAAGGATGGAGATAATTATAGATGAAGTGACTAGTAAGGTTCCTCCATTTTGTACACACATGAATTTCTCACACAGGAATTTTTTTCATTTTTTTTTCATCTCCATAATATTCTTTAACAAATAAAGACTTAAAGAAAACGCAAAAGTAAAATGATTCAAAAGCTATTACAATTATTTATCGGGGTAAGGTGGAAATGCTGGATTTAAAATGAAAACTAAAACCTCAACATTGTTCATTTTGAGTCCTTGCGATGGTTCCTTAGTCTTCACCGAGGAGATGAATTAATGCCAGCTGTACTCAGTGTTCCTCCAGAGTGAAGCATCAATACATGAGACTATGAAGGTTATTTCAAGTGTATCTCACCTCACAGACACCATCTACGAGAGCAACAGTGCGAGTCTTAATGTACACCAGTCATTCTTCGGCTCCTTCACTTGTGACCTAGACATCGTCACATACCCCTTCGACCATCAGCACTGTGACGTCCAGATCGTGTTTACCTCACTCCACAAACAACACCTAGCCTTCAGAAATGTGCAAGTGTTATACAGGGGAAGCCAAATGATCAGCTCCTATGAAATTGGGAACTTCAGTGCAGCTACAGTAAATGACTCCTTAGTTCCCTACTTCTGTTTACAAGTACGGACATCATACATACGTTGTATTTTAGTTATAATTTCAACTTAAGATCAGCCAGAAAGAAATACTGCACTGAAAATTAATATCTGAATCTTGACCATTTTAAATCACGGGAGTACGAGAGACACATATGAATGATGTGGCTTCTTTAACCCCGTACAGGTGAGGTTCTCTCTCAGGCGGCAGTATGAGCGGATCGTGCTGGTCATGTTCCTCCCCTCCTTCATGCTCGTCATTATTGGCTACGCCACACTCTACATCAAGCTTGGTCTCCTTCAGGTAAATTGACTATCTCCGTTTTTTTCGTTTTTTTTTGGGGGGGGGGGGACTTCTGACTGGCAGCCGACAGATACAGGTACTAACACTACCACAACTACCCACAGGTACGACTCACCGTGAGCTTGACGACCCTGCTGGTGCTGTACACATTATCTGACCAGATCAGTTCTCACCTGCCCCAGACCTCCTACCTCAAGATCATCGACTACTGGTTCTTCTCGTGTATCTTCCTCCTCTTCTCTATCATCCTCTTCCACGTCTTCATAGAGTTCATCGACTCTCCATCATCCACACAGGTAACAGAGGCTATACAGGGAAGGCCGAACACATATACAGGGAAGACAGGATATATACTGTATATATATAAGGTCAGAACATACAGGTATTACAGTTAAGGTATCTTCCGTTAAGGAGGGCGTCTGGAGTGATCGTGCCCTGGCGCAGGTGACGACCACCAGATCACACAAGACCGTGAAGTTGATCCGCCTCGTCATCCCGGCTGCAGCTGTTATCTTCAACGTTATCTTTTGGGTAGTCATCTTAACTAACAAAGGAACATAAGTGAACTGCAGTACCACCCTGTACACTTAGTATGTTAAGGTTATGAAGAAGTAAGTGTAGAATGTTTGTACTTGCTCTTTTAATCTTTCCTTGTCCATTTTCTCCCAAGCTTGATAGTTACGTGGGAGAGATGAAGAGATATTAGGTAAGATACATGTGAACCATTTGAGGTATAATATAAGTGATTTAAGTGTACTATATTGACTGTGGTGGTGAGACCAACTGACCAGGCGGTACTTGTTGGCTGGTACAAACTCTCTTGAATGACTTTTATTAAGAATTTCGCATTATTATAGTACCAGAATTTATATAATGAACAGGAATTTGAAACCTAATGTTAAGCTAATGTCTGCTCGTGTAACCTGTGATGAATGTATACTGTACACTCCCGAGTCATCTCACTAATGTAAGCAAAAGCTCAGTTATCATAATATACTTTAATTTTCTTTAAGAGCCCCCTTGTTCAACTCAGATTTTAAAACACATTGTCTCTTTGCATGTTATTGTCAATTTAACTACAGTAATTGGTTCGGTATATATTACATCAGAAAAAAAATAAATCACTGTAGTTTCCTCTTATTTTTATCCCGGTACAGTAAAACAGCTCGTATCTCTTGTGTGGAACGTATTTTACTTAATATAAATAAATCAGTGAAATGTTATGTATGAAAATGATTTTGAATTGGTAACTCTTCATACTGTATGTCGGAAGGTTTGTTTATCCCTAAGTATTATATAAGTGTGATGTTGAGTCGAAAGTCATTAGTTAACAAATAAATAAATGTGAAAGCGACCGACTTACCTTCCCCACGCCATAGAGAGGGAGGATAAGGTGACTTCATAATTCGTGACTTACCTGTACTGCTTACAAACACATGGTCATGTTCAATCATGTCTTCACCGATGTTTACCTTCTCAAGACACAACTTTATATTGGAAAATTGTAGATCTTCACTTACAAATAAAATTTATTGTTGTACTGTATGTTCATTAACTATCATGCAAATAGACACATCTCTACATCGTTGTCATTTATTTATATATACTGTGTGTGTGTGTGTGTGTGTTGAGAGAGAGAAAAGTTAACAGTACCATGCTATCAAAAAAAAAGATTCCTCTTCTCAGAGTGACAGTTCCTCAAACTAAAGGTCTTTAAATGTAATGGTGGAAGTCAGGCGACGTCGTCACTGATGCTAGGACTCAGATACTACACGGTTGTTGCTCCACTTCAAAGCTGCTCGGTACAACTTTAGATCACTTAATTTCATACTAAATAAGGTTCCAGGTAAAACCTTTCAAGTGACATTCGTTCATCAAAGACAACTTGTGCTGCGTTAGTTGGACAATTGTAAACACTTTTGTCTAAAGTTTGAAAATGTCAGGGCAGCGCCACCAAGCCTTTACCAGAGTGGGTGTTTGATAGGTTACATATTACTCGTCTACGCGCCTTCCAGGGAGCCTATCTCTTTACCAAACAAATACAAAGAAGATTATCATTTACTTATCCAATTTTTCATCAGCAACCATTATGTTTTTACGCCGCATAGAGATTTCTTAAAGGATTATAAAGACGTAATGACTGATTTGAACCTAATTTTTACACATCGATGGTTGTTTGCTAAAAGAATGAAAGAGCAAATGTGTTTATATGTGTGAAGAACAAGGTAGAGAGGACAGAGACTCACTATGAGAAGATTATGGGGAAGAATTCCGAATGTTTTTATCATGAAGTGCGGCAGAGTAAAGAGGCAATAAGAGGCAGGAGGCGAACGAATGAGTTACTTCATTATTATTAGGTAGAATCATTTATGGCTGTTATGGTTACTGTACACAATTGGTGATGGTCCTGCAGCTGAGTGAGACTGTGCGACCTGAAATAGAATGGTGAGGGTCCAAACGTATTCTAAATAAAGGTGTGAAAAAATGCACTGATTTCCATAAGTATCTTTAGTTTTAGTCTTAGAGAGCTAAATAACGTATTACGACTTTAAAATTATCTTAAGGTCATGTGAATTAGACTTTAAAATTATAATAATAAAATTAGCTGGGATATGGAAGTCAATTTTTAAGGAAAGGTTTTAAAATGTTTGCCCAGGTTTTTTTCATTATACATTAAGTCAGTATTGGCGGTACTTGCTGGTCCAGTGTTTTTCTGGCAGAGGAAGATGTTGTTTATTAATATTTGACCAAAGTGATTCTTAAAAATTCTTTCATATGACAAAGTTTTCCAACGATACTCCAGCCCAATTTGACTCTTTGTTTCAATAAATTGTTTTGCGCTATGTGAAACAAGTTACCCTTTATATTGTGTGTGTGTGTGTGTGTATGTGTGTGTGTGTGTGTGTGTGTGTGTTCTGAAAAATCATTTTGGTTTGATGATTAACTTTTTGGATTGAGATTCTTAAATTATCTTCGCTTTTGATAATTTATATTTGTACTTTAAAAAAATCCGTCATTGTCATTATTCTGTCAGTCCCCACGAGGCAATCACATCCGAATAGACAATATCATTAAATGTCACAAAAATCAGATAGCCACTCGGTAGCCATATGACAGACAAATCAATTTTTTTTTAAAGTTCATACTCTCTTATTGGACAAAGTTGTCTTCGGCTCAAGAAAATATATATTTAATGAGAACATCGAGAGTCATGAACGTATGGCGTATCGGCGTATTACTGTTATCGTTTAAAAAGTTCTCGTACAGATGTAAATAATTATCCTTTACGTGGCAGCCTTACCGACAGCCGAGTACAAAAACAGGTGAGGGTGCAAGGCCCACACACTTCTCTCTCCCCGCCCAGCTCACACCCACCTGGCGATCGATGCCTGTGTCCTTTGGGCGCCTTTGATCTGGTCTCCCAGGTAAGGAAACATCGTTGTATCTAGGTATAAGTTAGAGAATGTGTAGCACTTTAGTCGGGCAGGTGCAGCCGAACTTCATAAGCCGTGAGCCAACACTACAAGTTATAGGTAGCAGGCAGCTATCAAACAGGGAGGTACTACCGCCTGGGAGGATATTGGAAGCATAATGTGTTGTCTAATGGTAGACCCTGCTGCCATATGGCACCACGAAAATTGTGACCAAGTCCTAGGTTGCTGATCTGACTTTCTGCCTGATGTGGGTCAGTGACCTGTGCCCGGGTGGGCTAATCCACGTAAAAAAAAAAGTCTAAAATACTAAATTGTTGATGAACTTTGAATGCTTGACGTTATTTTACCGAGACTTTGACGCGGTAATGTTGCACACTTCCCGCCCTTTCCACATTTCTTGTGTAAACAGTGAAGACTGTACTTATAACCCACCGTTCTTGAAGCAGCTTGTGTCATAACGATTCTTATGTACATATTTTTTGTGTTTCTGTGACAAGTGTGATGTGCTGTACGACCTGTGGTGTAATGGTCAGCATACTCGCCTCGCAAGCGAGCGGACCCGGGTTCGATCCCCGGGCAGGGTGAAACTAGGGGCAAGTTTCTTGACGCCATTTGCCTCTGTCTACCCAGCAGTAATTGGGCAATGGTTCGCCAGTGCAGTTGGCGAGTTGTCCGGTCTTCTCGGACTATTCCTCGTTAACTCAGGGTGTGGTTGTTGTGCTGGCGACAGCTTCTACAGTCTACACCTTAAACAATTTCACGCCAAGGTGGCCATAGGGCCGGCCATCCTCGTTACACGAGGGGTAACCATTATTATACCACATAAAAATGGGTGAAGCTAATTTGTAAAGTACTGTACAATGGATGAATTAGGGGTAAAAGTGAAAGGATTATTATGTTACAAGAGATCATAAACTAAGCAAAGGTAAGACAGTTCTGTGCTACTTTAAACTGAAATATATTTTTGCATCATAGGTTTGGGAACATAAAGTTGTTTAATTCTTTAAGAATTATTCACCTTGAGAATATTTACTAAACAGGAGTTGTGATGTGTGGTCTTACAGGGTACCAGAAACAAGATGGTGAGGCAGAAGGCACTGTTTCTGTGTGTGGTGTGTATCTGGCTGCACCTTGCTGGAAGCGAGCCATCTGTCACGTCTATCAAGCCAACACCGATTCTGTCCTTTGAGAAAAACGACAGTAAACCTGCTGTAATCCCCGAGCCCTTGATAAACACCATTAATAAGTATAATGTAAATTCTCGTCTGTATTCCCCAAGTGGTGAGTCCTCTGCCCTACAGACTCAAAACTTTCGCCTTATGTCACTAAATTCTGAGGCGAACTCTAGTGAGGGTCACAGGTCGCCAACAGCTGGATGGCCACCCGATAACTCCACAGCCCTAACTCCTGGTCTCCTATCACTGGCCTCATACTCCTCCTCCTCCCTCACCCCTGCCGACGAAGAGTCCTTGGCCCGCCTCCTGGTAGCCATAGTAACTAAAGAGATGAAAGGTTGCGTGTTAGTTGTTGCCTTCGACGCTGGCTTCAAGGACTCACCTGTATTGGATCATCTGAAGTTACTGCCCAACCCAAGACAGGTCCGTGTTATATTATGTTCTTAATTAACCATTTACTGTTTATTTATGTTTTATTATTATATTTTGCATGGCACTAACTATCCTAAATCTGTTTGGTTTTAAGCTGTCTTGATTTTAAATAGTTTGGATAGTACTTAACCAATATATGATCATAATATGTATACTTTCTTTAATCTACTGTGGTTTTGAACGAAACTTGAGAGTGAGATTTCCTAAAGAGCTCGAGGGAGTCTACGAATTTTGGTATTTAAATACATATTAATAAATATGAATAATAAATATGTAAAATAGTTAAGAAAAAGGGGATAGGAAGAGAAGACAATGTTTACAGTTGATGCAAAAGAACATTACTTACCGGTATTTCATTTCTTATTTTACAGAATGTATCATCACTTGTCATTATCTTCCCCGTAACAGTAATTAGATTTTAAGTATTTTCTATAGCAAAAAGCGTATCTTAAAAATTACAACAGGGAGGAAATTGATTATACTTAATAAAATGTTCTCTATGCATTGGTATTTATATTATTATATTTAACTCCCAGTAAGTTATTAGCTTTGTAAAAAAATATGCATGTGTGGTGTTGATTATAATGAGTGGATATCTATATATAAATATCCTTACGCTGGTGGTTGTGGGCGTGGTGACGGCAGGTAGTAGAAGTAAGGAGCACAGTCGACCTAGAGGGCGTGGTGTGGGAGTCAACACAGTGTCGCGGTTACCTCTTCCTCCTCCACCACCATCACCACACACTCTTCAATTTTGCTGACCTAACTAACTTTATGTGGGACTTTACGGGCAGGTGAGCGACCACAACTACACAGGTGAGTTATCTTCACTTGTCACGCCATAGAAACAAGATTACCAGGAACGTGTGAAGACTTATTTACGAGGGAAGGATACAAACGATTCTAAAGAGATATAAGACGATGTAATAATGTATAGAGTTGTATTTATCGTGAGTCCAAAATGGCTAATAACATAGGGAAAATATTGCGTGTTGATAAGGATGTCATCTAAACCTTATACTGTACGAGAATTACAAGATGGACTATGTTTGTGATTTGCAAACATAAAAGATATCATCATGTATATAGTTAGTGTGAACCAAAACTCATAACTTTGTGAGAGGACTTAACTACACTGTATGACTTGTGTTGACCAGATACGTGGTAGCTGGACCCTCCAAGACTCAGCTGACGGCCCTCACCACCACTAAGAAGATGCTCAAGACCCACAACCTGCTGGCTCTTGTTAAGGTTCACGTCATCCACACTACCTCATTATAACACAACAGTTGTTTTTACCTAATAAGAAGTTGTTGTGTTTATTATTATAACTTAATTTAAATTACCTCATATATGACAACATTTATTGTTTTATTTAGCATTTTAATTTAACTAAACGATGCATAACGTTAAATTAAGTTAGCAAAACGAAGCTAAGTTAATATAGAAGTTATTTACATATGCATAAGTTTATATTATGATTATCCATAAGATCTGTTCTTTATACAAGTTAAAGTGAATATTCGAGAAAAAATATTAAAAATATCCCTATTTCGTAAATATTCCTGAAATCATACACACACACACACACGCACTCTCTCTCTCTCTCTCTCTCTCTCTCTCAATGGTTCAATGCGACACAAAAGTTGCCTCCCTCTAGGTGTCTTCCTAAATATATATAACTACTAGCAGAAACGCCGCCCTCCGGGCGGCTCATTCGCTAGGCCACGGTAGGACGCCACCCTCCGGGAGGCTCCACATTGTCTCACTGTTCAGTCCCCAAAACTTCTTCTTCCATCAATAGTTCATTAACGGTGTATGTAAGTTCCACCATGTTTTTCACTACAACGGTACAGCAAAGTATATTTTTTAGCATTAAACTGTTATTATTTTATTGTCTAATCATCACTACATATAACACTATCCATCATCACTACATATAACATCATCCATCATCACTACATATAACAAGATCCATCATCACTACATATAACACCATCCATCATCACTACATATAACAAGATCCATCATCACTACATATAACACCACCCATCATCACTACTTATAACACCATCCATCATCACTACAGATCGGTAAAGTAGTTTCCGAGATTCTCGTGCAGACACTCACAAACAGACATACTTCTTTGTTTTAGATAGATAGATAGATAGATAGATAGATAGATAGATAGTGATACAAATCATTTCATAAGCCAGTATAATATTCATAAAGACAATCGAGTCACCCTCGGTCATGTTGGGATGTGCAGCTTGACTCACAGCGGTGATGCCTCCTTCAGTCAGAGCGAGAAGGGGAGTGGCTCCTCTACACCAACCAGCTGATATGGGAGACTGGCCTGGCCTACCTCACCACCTGGTTACCTCACCGCCTCACTACCTCCGCCTCCCTCTTCCCCGACAAGTTGACTCACCTCCGCGGCGCTGTTCTTACGGTAATGACACACTGGTAGTGGTAACCTCCACGCTGTTCGTCACAATAGTAAGAGTAGTTGTTTAATTTACGTGCCAGTCACATTAACCACCTGGAAACCCGTGTATTTAAATCATCTTTGATAATATCTTACCAAAACTAATAAATTAATCCTTCCAAATACAACCAGGACTAGAATATGTTTATTTGTGGTAGAATAAACTTGATTGAATATTAAAACGAAGGAAAGAATTTTACGACACGTAGTAGCACTTATACCTAAGCTATCTAAATGTGTAATGGGACGGTTAGTGTTGGATGTGGTCATTTCTGTAATATTTATAAAGCTAATCTTATAGCTGGTGAAGGAAGGGTCTAACACTACTTCTCTTGGATGTTATTGGGATTTATATGTGATTTTTTTTTCAATAGAATTCTGTTTCAGTTTTCTTGGTTATCTATCTCTTATGTGGTTTGGAGAGCTATATACCTGGAGTGTTCGCCAGGTGGTAACATTTCCCTGGGACCCAAGCGTTATCTACGAGGTGGATGAGTCGGGAAAGGTGGTACTCCGTTATGGCCGCGACATCCAGGTAGTGACCGCCCTCGCCCACGCCCTCAACTTTTCCATCCGTTATGTTGAACCCCCAGCAGGTAGGTGGCCGCCCTCACAGATCTCTCAATGTACCAAATTTATGCGAGAAATTTAACTATTAAAATACTACAGTTACTATTAAACGAATATACCTGATTTAACCTCACACATCTATACCTTTTTACGAGTTATTTTAATAATTATCCTGAAAAAAAACCATGTGATTTGGATGTCATACTTTTAAATCTTTAAATTGTCCTTAGAAGATTGTAATTATCAATTTAACTGATGATATCTGTGTGTGTGTGTGTTGTGATTAAGGCGAAGTGTGGGGAACCCGGATTGGCAATGGGTCGTCGTGGAACGGCCTGATGGGGTACCTGCAGAGGGGTGAGGCTCATATAGGCATCGTCAACATGTTCATCAGCAACATCAACAACCGCCTGGAAGTGACCGATTTCAGCATGCCCTATGATGCCGACGTAAGGCCCTTCTCTCTCTCTCTCTCTCTCTCTCCCCTGGTGTCAGGATTTAGTGCTGTCAGGATTGTGTGTTGGCAGGCTAGTACCGGGTATAATTGTCAGAATTATGTGTTGCCTTGACAGTATGTTGTGGGGGGTGCACCTCGCTATGTCCATACACTTGATGTTTTCTTGTGCACATGACAGGTGACCTGCTTCATGGCCAGCCAGCCGCCACCTCTTCCACGCTGGAAGAGGATCCTCTACCCCTTCCAGATGACCACGTGGCTCTTCTTCCTGGCGGGGCTGGTGCTGAGTGGGCCGCTGCTCTTCTTCTTCGCCCGCGCAGGGTACTCGAGGTACTGTACAGTATCTCATAATAGTGTCTGTCTGCACTCTGTGTGAGACATTATGAGACCATGGGTGATAAATATTGGGACATGCATTAACTTTGGTATTTGGTTTAACAGAAGTAATGCAATGTGTATTCATTTCGGTGGCCACAGAGCCACACATACCAACCCTCCCGGGACATCACAAGTTGCCTGTAGCATTTTGGTAGTCATCGGACCTATCCTGGCAAATACTTTTTTGAGATACTGTACATCACTGAACATCTCATCTTCCATCTGTGTTACTTCTCGTGATGACACAGTGTGTGTACAGGTTAAGTGTTGCACTTGTGGTTGTTCCAATACATGTAAACCCCAGAAGCCCCTGGAACTACTGCCACAGGAAAAGTACTTCACATCTGCTTTATTTCACATTACATTTTGTCCTCATTCACCTTTTCTCTGTACCGTCCTTACACTTTTACATCCGCTTTTCCGTAAAAGGCGCTTCTGTGTTCGCCCACCGCATTAGGAACCCCCCCCCCCCTCCCCATTGAAGTCTTACTGTCACTGTTGCTTGTTGTGGTGTTGCTATATTTATATGTGTATCTAAAAACTACCCCTGCACCCCTTGAAAAAAAACCCTGTTCATATGTTCATTGTCACGTCTCTTTTGTTGTTCCATTGTACATACACAGCATCTCCAATGTTACACCTTTCGTTGTTCCAGTGTGACGCTCTTGTTGTTCCAGTGTGTTTATCTTGTAACCCGGAAAGTCTTGTTAACCATAGTATAAACTGATAGTCTTTACCATGAGCTGAACACTATACACAATATTTGACTTCCATGTATGGATTTGTAATAGAAACAAACACATTGCACCTACCGCAGCTGTCCCCTTTACAGATGGATGACTGGTGCCTGTGTTTAGTTCACTTATAGCTTTAGATGTCTTTGATCTCTCTCTCTCTCTCTCTCTCTCTTTCTCTCTCTCTCTCTCTCTCTCTCCAGTATTTCTTCATTATGTCAATACATTGTCTTCCACCAACAGCACGGAAGAAAGCCGCGCCTTGCATTCGTTCGCCTACTCGTGTTTGTACGCCTATGGTCTCCACTTCTCTGAGGCTCAGGCTAACTTGCCTCACCGGAGAAGTACACAGTTGTTCGTGTGTTTCCTGTGGATGTACACCATCATCATCGTCACAGGCTACCGCTCTAACCTCACTGCCTACCTCACCGTCGCCCGCCAACCACCCACCGTCAACACAGTTCGTGAACTCTACGCATCCGGCCTCCAAATTGCAGGAATAGGTCACTTCTTCGGCAGCGCTTTGGAAGCATCGTCAAATCAATATTTGAAGGTACTATTTTAAAACTGAATCTTAAGTGATGTTGTTCTGGTTTCTTTCTCACTTCTGTATTTATAGCGGATATATTTAAAGCAGCAGTATGTACTGTACATCATAATCTGTATCATAACATGTCAGACAAAATTCTAACTACAACTATAAGTATTTATGTGAAAACCATCACATTACACCCCCCCCCCCCAACACACACACAGGGACTGTCACAGCGGTTCCAGGCATACCAACTCCACAAGGACCTATGGACTGTGGTAGAAGCTGGCACGACCGTCTACCTGGAATCCAAAATGTACCTGCAATACGTCATCACTAAACTCTTCTCCTCCCGTGGCGCCCCCTTGATGAGAATCATCAAGGTAAGACTGAATAAACCGACTCTCCTGAGAGTCGGTTTGGAAGAGCAGTTGCAGGCAGAGATTGAGGGAGGATAGAGAAAGGGACATGTGTGGGAATAACAGAAAGAGGAATAGGTTGGAAAAGGTGCAAGTGTCAGGGAGGCTTCAGGACCTACTGTACTGTATAAGGAAGTGTAGAGAGGAAGATGTAGGGTAGGCCATAGGCTGGTTACCTGGGCCTTACTATACTGAAGTAATACTTCTGTTAGCATTATTTTGTAACGGTACAGTTTAGATGTTTATTTTACATAAGGACATGGATTCATTTATCTGTCTTCAAACAGTATATCGTAATTGCTTAGTTTCATCACGCAAAGCAATAAAGATGAACCTCTTCATGTTTATTCTCTTTTAATTTTATTTTTCTAACGTTTCATGTAGGACTATATATTTCTAGTGGTTCTTAACGTTTACAGCAATTACACTGACTACCACTGTCTGCAAGTTAGTCATGATTCAAAGAGCATTACAGAAACTCCTCTCACTCTCCATGTTTTATAAGGTTGCATATGGTCCTGTTCTATGATCAGTTGTTGTAGTTATATGTGGGGGAATTCTCCTAACGTTGTGTACTCCTGACAGAGCTAGTGGAAGGACCTATAACAATGAGACGGGGGTTTGTTTTACAGGAGTGTTTTGCGCCCTACAATATCGCTCTTACCACCCAGCGCCACTCCCCCCTCAAAGAAAAGCTTGACCCTTTTATCATGAGGATGGTGGAGAGTGGCCTCGTGCAATACTGGTTCTCTGAGTCTCTTATGATCTCCAAAAAGGTGAGTATAATATAAAACAGTAGAATGATTCCTGGAGAACAACAATCAATTAATCAATCAACCAATCAATCAATCAAGGTGTCATTCGGCTGGCGACTACAACTCTCCATTCTAAATGTTATCTGACTGTCTCTACTAAATAACCCAGATTTAAGAACTGTCCGGGGATCACAGCTTTCAATTTGATTCGTACATCCCAGTCTTTGTCTTCCCCGGGCTCTCCTATACCCTCATTTTGACCTATTAATATTTCTTTCTTTTTTCTCTCACCTCTGATGAAGAAAGTTTATTCAAATTTCATTGGTTATTATTAATTAATTGTGTGCTGCCTTAAAATATATAATTTATAGTAATGGATTTTGTCATTTACATTATAATTAAAAAAAAATGTAAAATGCAGATATATACATTATTGGAGATGTCGAATTATGATCCCCATTGAGAAGGTATTATGTGATTTATACCCAGTATGAGTCCGTACCAGTAGTATAACCATATCACCACCAGCTTATAGTAAAAAAAATCCAACTTACTCACAACATCTTGACCAAAGATATACCATTTAAATCTCAACCTATTTGTGATATGTAACGCCAGGCTCACGCGACAGACACCATGGGTTGAACCGTAAACATCATAGTGTACTCGATAAACCCAACTAAGTATTGGTCACATGTACTCCTCAAAAAGTTAAAAATAATGTGATGAAGACGGTTGTTTTGTTGTCTTTGTCCAGAACACCAAGAATCAAGAGGAACAGGAGACTGGGGACGTCAGACACCTCGATGAAACTGAGAACGACGTCACGTCCCTCAGTGTCGACCACATGCAGGGAGTGTTCTTCGTCTTTCTTCTCGGTTCTCTCATCTCCACCATCGTTTTCGTGGGGGAGGTCACTCTCAAGAGGAAATCTGAAGGGGGAGATGGAGAGTAGGCCACACCACTATAGTCGAGGATTATCGTTCCCAGCTTAAAACTCAACTCCTGTCCATTCTTTAGTTGTGTAGTAAACGTTTGATAGTTACAGTTAGTTGGAAAAAGGGGACAAATTCTTCAAGTAATGCAAAAAAAGATTAACCTGATCTCTAAACCATAGCACCAGTTAATGTTAGGTCTATGTGACTAAACATGGAAGAAATTTGACCAAAATCGTAGCTATTAGGTCTTCGTAGGGTCAATATAATCATCTTTTTTACTACATACTAATATACAATATTTTAGCTTCTCGTCTACCCAATGTGAAAGTAATAAATGTTGCAGATTTATCAATTGTTTTGATAATTATCTTCTAAGTCTGTTTATTCCCCATCATTCTTTACTTTCTTCTTTCCCATCATCACAGTTCATGTTAAATGTTCCCCCAAACTACATTGACTTGGTTTTTTATTCATGATTGTATACATCGTATTATTTATCCGATATATATTTTTTCGTGTTATCTAATCTTGATACTGTAAAATGTTAGCTTGGGTGAATGCTTGGCTAAGATTAACTCATTATACAGTATATTTGTACCTTGTTTCCCAGTGACTTAATAGCATTGTTAATTCAGCGAGATTTATCACGAGGAGTCAACACCGAGTTGTAACATGATCAGGTAATAATCCATATCATGACAAGGACGGGTCCTGGGGGTTCGGACCCCTCCCCCCCCCCCTCTTTCACCAGAAAATCCAATGCTTTTTCTTCAATGCAGTATTGTACTATCGTAGACAAAAGTTCGCTCCTTCCCAAACTGAAGCAGTATCGACCCGCACAGCACACCCGCACCAGATAACAATCAGGGTAAGTCAGTTCGGAAACTCATTCCCGTGTTTCAGTTTCACTGCAGGGAGCGAACTTTTGTCCACGATAGTACTCAGGCATTTTTGTATAGTAAAAAGTATTTACTATTGACTTCAGAATATCTCCTAATATCAAGTGAGTATGGCCTCAAAATGCCCATGATATTGGTCAGATTTCAAACAATTTTCGGGGAACTTATGCCCCCTTCCAGCTGGGTGAGTCACTGCGCTCGCCATGTTTCCCGTCCACAACTTCTTGGACCTCCCCCTATTTTTATATTCCTGGATCTACTCCTGCTGAGTACTAGGAGCTTCCCATAAAAAAATAACAAAAACTCAAATTATATTCTATCTAAAAAGTGTTGAACGATATGACCACACATACAGTACATGCGGGGAATAATTTTGAATAAAGACATTACAGATATCTATATCTTATGTTCTTATTCAAGACACACACTTAACCAACACCGGTGTAAGTACAGACAGCTAACGAGCCGATCAGTAACGAAGTGAAATTAAGAGATATCTAGCTCTTTTTTTTTATACGGGGATTAGCCCACCCGAGCACAAGTCACAGACCCACATCAGGGCCTGGGGAAGGAAATATAATAATCGTAATAATTAATAAAAATATATAAACAAAAATAACTAAATATAATTAATAATAATAAGTTATTATTATTAATTATATGTATTATTAATAACCATAAATAAATACAAGAAAAATTAAGAGTGACAAAACATATATAGTATGCATGTTGTGCTTTCAATTGTAAGAAACAATTGAAACCCAGCAATTGTGTGTAAATGAGGCATTATAGTTTTTAATAATAATAATAATAATAATAATTAACGGTTTATTGAAAAAATTCTGCAGCCCGAAGGTTGAAAATATACATTGGACATAAATCACTTATTACATACATGGGTGGTTTGACAAAAGCCTTTATTAGAGAAAGGTAAAGGAACATACAGTGAACATACAGATTAATGTAGGTGTTGAACAGCAAACTCGTGGTGTAGTAATTCCCTCGCAGATGGTGTTATGAGGGGCCTCACGTGGTGTAGTAATTCCCTCACAGATGGTGTTATGAGGGACCTCACGTGGTGTAGTAATTACCTCACAGATGGTGTTATGAGGGCCTCACCTCACGTGTGTAGTCACAGATGGTGTTATGAGGGGCCTCACGTGTGTAGTAATTCCCTCACAGATGGTGTTATGAGGGTGGTGTAGTAAACAGGGACCTCCTCACAGATGGTGTTATGAGGGGCCTCACGTGGTGTAGTAACTCCCTCACAGATGGTGGGCATCACGTGTGTAGTAATTCCCTCACAGATGGTGTTATGAGGGACTGACGTGGTGTAGTAATTCCCTCACATATGGTGTTATGAGGGACATGTGGTGTAGTAATTCCCTCACAGATGGTGTTATATGAGTGAGGTTTGGTCTTAGGCCTTCCTATCGTAGACGGATTAACACATCGCTGGTTGTTGTTGGGTCTCACGGGCCGATATCACTGGGTACCTGGGACCTCACTGTGTGAAGGTTAACTTGGGTACGACTGTTACTGTTGAGTTGTTCTCACTGACTTAAGCACTGTACACCACTGTTCACCTCTGTTTAACACTGGTTCCGTTCCTTTCCTAAATGAAATTGTAGCTTCTGGCGAGAACTTGTTGATATTCCGGTGGGGAGGAGAGTTCAGGGGAGGGGGTTGGTATGGGCCAACTTAACAGTTGACCTGGCTGTTCCGAGAGGAGCGCCAGGTACGTCTTGACCCTTCGGTGGTCATTATGTTTTTCGTATTAGGAGGATGCACGCGAATACCCTAAGGTGTTATGTCCTTATTTAATATTTCTTACAGTCCCATGCATGCCTAATGTTTTTAGTGAATTACATATGAAGACAGAATAGTATTTAGTCCTTATTTGTCTTGAAACATGGCTAATTAGTGCAATGCTTGTTTAGTTTCCGATGCTTAAATGTAAATATTTTATATAATATTTAAAATAAAATGTGCTTACTATTTCCATAAACTAATTTGAAATTGTATGATTTCACGGAATTAATATAGTACAGTAATGTAAAAAATGTATTACACGTAAGTTTAACTGAAATGCCACCCGTCACAACACAAACAAACATGTTGGTTGACGGTGTGTGTGTAGTGGTACAGTAAAACAAGCCAACGTGTTTGACAGTCCCAGAAGCAGGATTTCATCATATTGCTTGTAACTATCTATTATCAGTATTTTTGGTGAATTTATAGTATCACAACGCTCATTCACAACGTCCCCATTATTTGTTTGACGGGGGTTAGGTTTGGTTTGGTTGGTAATATAACTTATGTTATTTATTTTAATAAACCCAACTTTTTCCGTTCTGAGTGTTTGGTGGGAGGTGGTGGGTTATCAGAAGAAAAAAACACGTGATTTCCAGTGGAAATGAATATCAAATTCGTTCGAAACTCCTCAAAATAAAGAACGGTGTGGTACTATAAATTGACCGTATTTTTTAATACAAAATAACTTTGGAATTATATTATAGCTCACACTTGCACTAAGTGGATCGAATTATGGTTTGTATTCACGGCTAATAATAATATTTATTCAGTAAAATTGCCATACAGGTTTTTACAATTGAATAGGTATGTATATAAACTATGCAGTTATACAGTTCAGCATGAATATACAGTGTAGGTATACAGTGTACATAGGCCCGGGGAGTACAGTACACAGTGTCCTGTGTACCTACAGTGCAGGTATACAGCAATGGTAAACAGTAAGGCAATATGACCAAGCTGTCAGTTTTCCTGTTTTAATTGGTATCTGTCAAAGTACTGTATATGCAAGGTGTGTAACCCTGTTGTCTTCAATGGAGGGTATTAGTTCAGTTAATGTGCTGCAATAATACCTAACAACTTCTGTGCACCTAAACCACATTTTTTTTTATTAAGGTAATGAACTGTTTTATGCCATAATGGGAAAATGGTTACTAAAATAAGTTTGATAATCCTGGAGCAGATGGCTAACACCAGAACGTGTTGTTTGATTTCATTAATTTTTTTTACAGGTGTTCTTTGGATAATAGTAAGTGATTAATAACAGTACGGCAATACACAGAACCTAATAGAACCTGACCTAACCAACCAAAGAAACCTACCTAACTTCTTAGCCAGGGAACTCCCCCTGCCATATTAAACAGAATGTACATACTTTGATATCTAGGACCAATGAAATAAATTTCTTCAAGTGGCACGGTTTAATTTTACATTTTTGTGGACATGAGAGTATGCCGGGACCGAGTGGATCAAACAAAGAGCAGACCACAACACACGCCGACTTGGCAGATTTTTCAGAGGAATATTTATGGTAAATGAATCATTTTATCGCATACAAAGCACATAGAGGTATCATTTTGGTGTCATATGATCAGTATTTCACTGTGTTTTACCCTGCAATGTTCCTCATCCTTCATATCCTGCCCATTGCAAGTGATTTATAATCATAGATAGAGAAAACTAGATACTTATAATAAAAGTAAAAGGTTGTCGTATCATTTTATTCAAATGTGAAATAAGAAATTATTAGAAGTGTTACATATAGATATTTGAATATACATTAAGTTAATTTTTTTCATATTTTTTCTGGCAGAACAGTTTGGTACTGTAATTGTACAAGTGTGTCACAACCATGTGTAGTGTGGATCCAGATGAATTAACCGTGATGACACGTGCCACTGGAGGACTGGACATTTCAGGGTAAGTTGGTGTCTGGTCAAGTTCATTTTAATTGCTAGCTGTGTAGTTTATAAATTTAAGAATACCGTATAAATGTGCAAAAATGCGGTTTTGTTGAAAATTATTTCACAGCGATAACTGAAAATGGGCTTATTAACTAAAAGTGTATTGGTATGGTGAACAAGGTACAGATAAGTATTTCATTGGTCATTCATTTCTGCATGATTACTAATAAGATATGTTGTCACCTAATCATCAAAATATTATCCTTATGCATGAGGATCAGCAACCACAGCCCTCAAATTCAAGTGTTTTAGACTATAAATTTCCAGTACTGTATTTCTATCATTCATCTTGCCAGTCTTAGTATTGTGCTTCTCATTTGCTTTATATCAGTACGCATAACTTAAGTAACATCCTCCTGTAGCACACCTTGAAGGCTTCTGGTGTTTGGTGAAAGTGTAAGCGTCTGAACCATACAATAGTACTGATCATATACTGTATAATATACTGTAATGTACAGTATAGTGATATCTCCATTAGCCGGAGCAATTGGTACAGAGCACTTCCGGGAATGAGAGATTTCCAGGTAATGAGATGACTCTCAAAGCTGGAAAAAAAATCCCTCATCCCCGGAATTTTCTGGGTAACGGAAAAATGTTCTCGGAAGTTTCAGAAATTGCCCATTACATCATCACTCAAACCCGGAAAAATATCCCTCATCCCCAGAATTTTCCAGGAATCGGGAAAATTTTCTCTTGAGTTGTCCGGAAAATGTGCCCCCTCGGAAAATCGTTCTTAAAGCTGGAAAATTCCGGCTTTGGCAACGATTTTCCGAGAAAATTTCAATTCTGCCTATCGGAGAGTTTGGGGTTTGAGGGATTCTGGCTAACGGAGATATTACTGTCTTTCAGTAGTCTTTTTTCTTAAACTGAAGCTAATGTCTCCAAAATTATTAAATGTTATTTTTGTTTGATTTCTCGTTGTTTTAAATTACTTCTGTCATTTATCATCACAACTAATTTTACCTCCCAACTACACAAAAGTTTCACTTGTTTAATTTCTCTATTACTGTACTTTCTTTAACTTCTAGGATATTTTATAATTTGGGAACAGCCATTACTTCTCTCTTGACAGTGTTATGCACAGCTCATGTTTTCACCTTTTGTCACTAATCTCTTTACTAGTTTTAGTAAGGCCTCTTCACTATCTGTAAGAAGAACAGGCTCATCCACAAACCATATTTAATATTACAGAACTTTACCACTTGTTTTAATTTCTTCATCACTACTTACAACTACACTGTACTTTCATTGGATATTTAAAATAGATAACATAGTATTGGAAATAATATACAGACCTACTTCAGGTGATTTTTTTCTTATCTTAATTCTGCTTTAAAATCTCCCATTATAGTCAAACATTCATTTAACTTCTCTTGCCATCTTTATTTTTTGTATTTATTTTATTTATTTTTTTTAATCATCTCTACCATTTGGTGGTGCATAAATCAGTATTAACTGTATTGTCTAGTCCAGGGGTTTAACATTACAGTACACTACTGCAAAGTCCAAAGTTTTCCAGATTTTTAACACTGCTTCATCCCGAGCCATCTTTGGATTCTGAAAGTTTCACTGTACTGTACTGTATTGGTATTCACGTAAATATCTTTTTCTTCTGCTTCATTGATGTTTGTTTTTGTTATAATAAGAATAAATTTTATAGTTCCTCTATAATGAATGGAATACTTTATTGGACAACCATTCTCACTACAGTCATAAGAGTTAAACTCATAAAGTACCCAATGAGAGGAATTTCTAATGTGGGAAGTAAATCAACATTGCAATATTTTTATTTGTATGTTCGAGCCTTTTAATATCACCACAAGTCCATTTGTATTTTATTCTTCATTGGATGGTGTTATCATATACAGTACAAGTTATATGAAATGTAATGTTGCAGTACTATATAATTTAACGCCAAAAAGATACATGAGGTTTTTTATAACTTTACAAAAAAATATTTATTTATCTTCAGAGGGGATGTGATGTGTCGCAAGTGTGGGGAGTCAGCGGCAGAAGTGGTGCTCAGAGTCAAGGATGCATATTGCAGGTAATTTGAAAATTTTTTGGTACAGCTGAGGCAGGTCGTAAGTGCGGGTGGTCGTAAGTCGAGTAGGTCTTTGTCGGGGAGGAGCTGTATATTGGTTATGATCACTTCTTGATTGATATATATCTGGCAAGGAATTTATTCACTGGAGTGGCAGATTATCCGGATATTCTTGGTTGATACAAACCCTGGTTGGTAATTTATGTCTGATACTTATACATACTGTACATAAATAAAATTTTCTTACTTTGTTGCAGTATTTGTATGGTAGGTTTCCATACATCCAGGACGAAGAGATACAGCACACATGTTGTTTTACATGAACATTCACAACACCTGGAGATTGGTTGATCACCTTTCTTAGTCCAATTTTATTTACCATTGTACCTCGCCATATCTTTTACCTTCCCACCAGATAGTCTACTAGATCCAGTTAATTTACATGCTTATACAGTACTGTTTGGGCCTCTTTAATTTATTTATATTTATTTATTTTTTTTTTCAGGTTGTGCTTCTTGTCTTATTTTGTACACAAGTTTCGTTCCACCATTGGGAAGTCAAAACAGATCCAGCCAGGGGACCGTGTGTTAGTGGCTACCTCAGGGGGACCATCGTCTGCCGCCCTCCTTCACTTGATACGAGAGGGTCTAAATGAAAATTCTCATAAGAAGTTGCGCTTTGAACCTGTTTTTCTCTATGTTGATGGTATGTCTTAATGTGATTCATGATGCAGTGTGTAGCTACATTAAGTTTGGACACTAATTTTTTATGCTCCCACCATAGTGTTTGTTAGGGGCATATAATGTTATCTCTGTTTTACCACCCATATGTACAGAATGTCATTTTCCTCTGTGATATAAGAAAGACTTTGGATATTAAAGTGACTTGAAAATTTGTAGCTTGATATCATTAATGTCTAGGGTTGTGTGGAAATGGAAAGAAAGGTGACTGGTTATATGATGATTAACAGATTTACCCTGGTAGACCCCAGAGATGTAGCCCAAAAGTTCATCTCTGTGACATGGCTTTCTTCTGTCCTGTCATTACTTCACACCCCTTGTGGTCCAGGTGTAGCCACCTTGCTCACTCACTATTGTTGAAAAATGTTTTATTTATTTTTTTTTTTTTAAAGATTTTACATTTTTTGCCATCGAAAATATTCATTATAATATTAACACAAAAGTCTTAGAATAAATCAGGCCAATAAAACAAATAAATAGGAGATATAAATGTCTTCAGGTTGTGCAGATTAGCAGTGCCTAGCACCCCTGATTGTTTGGACTACGAGCTAAGAAAGTGATTTTTCATATCTTTGAGCCCCGCAGACAAGCTAAAATTTTGAGAGGAAAATGCCTTGACGGAAATTGTCAGGTGCTGCATGACCCTAGCTCCCCATAAATTTTTAACCAGGGAGGTCTTTCAACGGGCTGCCACTTGTCATCAGTGTACCAGGATTAGTTACTTACGCACAGGTGATTTATCTCTAGTAAGTTGTCAACATTTCAAAGGAACCACCAAGCCAAGGGGCTGTAGAGATGAGGTGACAGGAGTTATGAACTCACATGACAAGTGTTAACACCAATGACAACATGCTATAGGGAGGGGATGTGGTAGGTAATCACAGGTGTTGTCTCTGCCTCCCCACTCACCCTGTAGGTGTGAGTTGAGGTAATGTTTTGACATCACATGGCAAGGGTTACGCCCACTGATACCAATTATACATGGACACAAGTGATTTGCAATTTGATACATACAATAAATTTGAATGTTTTAAATGTTCGTTTAACTTTTCCCTTAACAAATCCAGACAAGCAAGTTCCCCAAAAAAAAAAAAAAAAATATATATATATATATATATATATATATATATATATATATATATATATATATATATATATATATATATATATATATATATATATATATATATATATATATATATATATATATATATATATATATATATATATATAGAGAGAGCCTGATAACACGTTAATTTAGCTTTCGTTTTATTCACATATCTTCAGAGGCAACCTGAAGATATTTTAGAATAAAGACGTAAAAGCTAAGGTGCCCGTTGTTTCATTTTCTTTCCTGTGTGATTTTATCACATTTGCCCTTATCCACGCCATTGTGGGATTTACATGAAATATATATATATATATATATATATATATATATATATATATTATATATATATATATATATATATATATATATATATATATATATATATAAAATATATATATATATATATATATATATATATATATATATATATATAAAATATATATATATATATATATATATATATATATATATATATATATATATATATATATATATATATATATATATATATATATATATATATATACACACATACACACACACTCCTCGACTTATGGACCACCCGGACATATGACGGCCATGGTTGTATAAAATATTTTTCACATTACATATTTTCAAGTCCCAACGTTAGTGATCGCGCTGTGTACTGAAAAAATTTTTGTTTGTAATTCCCTTTAAAATGGCTGGCAAGCATAAAAGTGAGAGTACTCATGGTGCTGAGAAGAAAAAGAGACACCCATTTTAGAATTTCTATGTACAGTATTATTTTCGACTTCGACCTGGTCGTCGGGACACATGTAACGTCAGTGCAGTAGGTGATTTAATGTCATGTACTGTACTTATATGGCCTTCTAATTTAATAAGAGGAAAATCCTTTACCTTTCGCCTTTTCAAGGTGGCAGTTACAGGTCTCCTGGGTCTAAAACTGACTTATTGAGCACATTATTTGAGCTGCTTAGTTCTGGGCTTGGTCCTGAAATGAGATTTCAAGATTAGTTCTTTTGTAGTTTAAAATGTTTAATTGCTCATTTTATATGCCTTTACAGAAAGTTGTGTCAGCAACAGTCCTAAAACAGGCCCAGAGTATGTAGAAAAAATCTGTAGCGAGGTCATATCAAGGGATTTTCTGTGTTATGTTACATCATTACAACAAGTCATGGCACCAGAAGCACATCCTCCTGTCTTATTTACTAAGGTGAGTTTTTTATTTTTTTTATTTTTAGGACTTAATGTGTGGCTCAGTCGACTCGCATATAAGTGGGGTATGCTATAACGAACGGATTCTACTACGAATATTCCTATAACGAACGGTTTTACCTATAAAATTGAGAATGCTATAACGAACGAAACTCCTACAACGAACAGTATTTTTTTTTTCTAATTTATTGTTTTTTATTATAAGTATTAATGATATTCTTTATTTCAGGAGTTTTGATGCATATTTATGCACTTTTTTACAATTTTTACAATTGTATATTATATTTTTCAGTGTTAAGTGGTTGTATTTGGGGGCCTGGAACGGATTAATCCTATAACGAACGAATGCAATAACGAACAAGGTTCTAGAACCAATTAGATTCGTTATAGCATACCCCACTGTAGTAATGTTCAGACGAGTTTAAGGGGATGGAAACCCTGGATTCGCCCAGATAATGCCCGCTAGTACTCTTCCAGTGATTAGTAATGCAATAGTCACCACTTAAAGAAGAAGGCTGAAGAGTTGTGGCACTTACACTGTAAATTCTGTGTGATATGAACCAGAGTGCAGGACTGTCCTCAGTTTCATCTGGCTCCATATTGAGTAAAGACATGGGTTTCTTATTCTTGCCTGTATATAAAAGAGCTAAGTGTCTTTAGAATGTTACACCAGGATCAAGCAACTTGTAAAGTCATGCCTTGAGGGTTGAATCCCTAATCCCCAGTTGTGACTAGAATCCAAAACCAAAGAAATTTGAAATTACTGCTTAACTATCTTTTATCTTCATACCAGCTTGCAACAGGGAACATACACTGTACTCTGCTTTTGTTTACATTGATTATAAACGACATCATAAAATTTGCTTTGAAGATCCAAATTGCTGTCGTATAATATGGATCTTCTTAGCACATGCACCAATGTGTGGACAGCTACATGGTTCTAATGATTGGTAAGTCATTTGGGAATATTCAGTTAATGAGATGATGAGGAAACCTTAGAATATCTAGGTCCTAAAACAGAGACATTTAAATATTTTGGAGGGTTATGTGGCTGAAAAGAATGGGTGAAGAAAATTATTGACAGAGTGAAGAACAGAAAGGCTGCCAGTAACTGGGATAATTGCAAAAATGTTGAGTACATCAGATGATATTGACCAAATTGACTAAATCAGTTACAATATGATAGAATGAATTTGTTACAGCTGATGAGTGTATTTGTGAATACAGGTGCTCCTCTACTTAGAACATTCTACTTACAAACTTTCAGAGGTACAAACATCATCACTGAGGTGGGTTACCTGCCAGAACAGGTGTTTAATGTGGATGAGACTGGATTATTTTGAAGAAAATTCCAGATAGAACAAACATTACCTAAGAGGAGAAGAGTGAGCCTTGTTTTAAGGCTGTATTAATGGGTATAGCTGTACTAAATATCCATAATCCTTTTATTTTTTACAATATGTTTGGTATCTACAAGAATAAAGTTGGACTTATAAACAAGCCTCAGGAACGTAACTCGTTCGTAAGTAGAGAAGCACCTGTTCAGTAGATCCTCGATATAACTCAAGAGTGGGACCGAGAATTGTCGCTCAATATCGTACTTTGTATTTGAATAGGAAATATAGCATACAGGACTGCAGCTCCATAACAGACACGAAAAATTCCTTGAAGACACTACAGTACTTTTTCTCATTTCAACACTAATTCTGTAATTTCAAAACACATTTTAACAAATTATAACTTTCTTCAAGTCTGAACAACTGCTTTCTGGAATATACAGTTGTTCAGACTCCAGGTGACAGTAAGGCCCTGCTGTACTGTACTGTATATGCAAATTGCAAATGTTCTTCATCCAGTTCAGATTTTCATAACAAAAAGTAGAAGGGATTGTGAAATGATTAGTATTGTGTATATTGCAATTCTTACATGCAAGTTTAGTATTTTGTGTCTCCAGTAATAATTCAAAATTGTTTTACAGGAATGGAAAGAGATGAATCTTCCAGGCAGTCCAGATCTTGACAAGAAATTGTGTGAGCTCCTCACCTCCTGCAGGAGTATATCAGCTCAGCAGGATCTACATGAACAGCTGAGACACAAAGTTATCTTGCAAAGTGCTCATGACTTAGGTTACACAAAAGTATTCTTTGCAGATAATTCAACAAAATTATCTATCAACATCTTGTCACAGGTGGCAGTAGGAAGGGGCTCACAGCTACCAAGTCGAGTGGTGAGTTAATGATGTTGTCGGTCTTAGATTTGTATGTGGATCTTGCGTGGTGTTTCTCATGTATAAATTAGGAGACACAAACCTGCTTAAATTATTTACGAAGCATGTTAACTTTCCCATTGTGGTATTGAAAGAGTTACCTTCTTGCCCTCTGCTAATATAATAGTGTTTGATGTTAATAACCATGGTAACTTTTATATTTCATGTCAAAAGTGGTAACTGCCATCAGTTGCCCTCCTCTTCTGATGAGATAAATATACATTATTCTGCAGAAAGATAAGAGGGGAGCTGGTTTGCAGTGAAAAAAAGGTTTACATCAAGGCTGTGTTATATCATCATGGTTGTATTTTCATGGATGGGATAGTCTGAGGTGAAAGCAAAAGTCATGAAGAGGATGCAGATTTGATTTGCCTGCCAAAGAATGTGTTGACAGTATGAGTTGTGATCTATTGTAATAGCTTGCCAAAGAAAGTTGAGAGTAAAAGTTAAGAACTCTTGAAATAACCTGTCAGAGAATGTGACAAGAGTGTGAGCACCTTTAAAACCAGACTTGATCAACACTAGTTTATGTTATGATACATTTTAGAGACAGTACATGCCAACAGTGTGTAACAGAAATGACAGACAGCCTGACCAGCTAGAGAGCCGACCAGTGTCAGTTAATGTAAGTTTGTGAAGTGTTAGTTTAGATTTGAAAATGGATGTGTTCGGCATTTTGAAAATAGGTATCACTAGAGCCCTTTGCTCAAGTTTAAAATATAGTACAGTAAACTTCCTCTAATCGGTTGGGCCGAAATTTCTGGTTGGGCGGAGGTTTGTATTGTCAATATTGCAAAGTGGAAAGTTTGATAGGATAGGGGATTTCTGACTTAGTCTATCTAAGAATACCGAACCTACTGTAATTCTTAGCCTAGACTTAACACCCTCAGGGTTTTTATATGCCATATGAACTTTTTTTGACGCTTAGGGTTTTAATATCTAGGAAAAAACATTAATTTTTCTCGGTCTCGTACGCTCTTGGCAGCTTGGTGCTGGCTCTCAGTACAGCTGTATTCGGCAAATCACCCATCAGCTGGTGTTGCCAGGCACTCTTATACGTCTGGCAGCCATGTGTACTGTCTCGGCTGTCACACTCCGCTCTATTCAAGCGTCATGTCCCCAAAATACCTCCATTTGACGGCCTGTATCATATTGATTTTTTCTTTATACCTGTATTCAGGTATCCTCCAATTTTTATCTCCCTATCTATGATATTTTGCTTTAACATTAGTGATGTATTAAGACCATCCCCCGATTTGTGAATATAAAAAATGCAGAGGTTATGTTTTCACTGTTAATTTCATTGGTTATTATGTACTCTACATAATTCATATTTCTTAAGACACTTTTACTGCCTCCTCAGAGGCAGCTGTTAATTACATTCCTGTGCCAACACAGTGGCAGCCCCTGTTTACATGAACGTTCCCCCCACACTAACTAGATTTTAGTCGTTTTCTCCCGGGTTTCCCGGGTTGGGGATACATGTGTCTGGACCCCAGTCCAGTTTGAAAGGGGATCCAGATTAAGCTATTTAAAGATTAGTAGGGTCATTACCTAATACCTGACCATTGTGGACCTGGTCTCACCCTCCTCTGTATATATACACCTTGATTTGTATTACTCTCTCTAGTCTGTACTCACCCCTGAAGATGTGAATTACACGAAAGCGCTTGGGAACTTCGTGTTTTCTTCTTTCCTTGTGGTTATCAGCATATACTGAATCATAGCGCACCTACAGTGATTTCTTGCATATATATATATATATATATATATATAATATATATATATATATATATATATATATATATATATATATATATATATATATATATATATATATATATATATATATATATATATATATATATATATATATATATATATATATATATATACAGTATAAACTTTCTTACACAAAGTATTTCCAAAGAATAAAGGTAGTTTGATACTACCCTACTAAAAAGAGAGAGAATGGGGTCAGCTATTGAGAGAGAGTAGATAGTCAGCTGTTGAGAGTAGTTGGGCAGCTATTGAGAGTGTAGGTTGCCAGATGTTGAGTGTAGATGGACAGCTTTTGAGAGAGTAAATGGCCAGCTGTTGACAAAGAGAGTAAATGGCCAGCTGTTGACAAAGAGAGTAGATGGCCTGCTGTTGAGAAAGAGGGTTGGTGGCCAGTTATTGAAAGAGAAAGGGGGGATGGGATAGGTGGCCAGCTCTTAAGTTTGTGACCTCATAGGTTGTCAGGGTCATGAGTCTATGCCATTAAATATATTTTTAGTAACATCTGGTCACAGGGTGAAGGATGCTGTGCCCAGGTGTTCATAAGTTAGACATTTATTTTGTGCTATATAGAAATACTACTGTTACTACAGGGCGGCGGTCGAGTGGATACAACACTCGCCTCCTTTTCAGGGGGTAGGTTCACCCAGCTGTAAATGGGTACCTAAGTGAATGTAGTCGAGTGCAGTACTGGCCATGCTGCCTCCTTGAGTACTGAAGGCTTAGCATACTATGCAGTATCCACACTGTCCCTAATAGAAAGTCTTGACTATAAGATCCTCTTTCACTTTTCACTACAGGGTAGCAACAGTAACCAAAACTTCAGTTAGCTTAAGTCATGATATACAGGGTGTCCATAAGTGATGACCCTGGTTAAAGTATGAGAGCATACTGTTTTTTAGGGTAATCATTTATGTACACCCTGTATATCCACTGAACATCCAGTAGTAGTTGCTTTGGACTGTCATCGCATATATTAAAATACGTCTAATATATCCAGTAAAAGTATTGGTATTAAGTTTATCAGAAAAATAGTTTTATCAGAGTGACTATACTCCAATTGGTCTGATTATCAATATTTCACTTATATATATTTTTTAATTTCCAGCACTTTAGGGCACTTCACCGGGATGTAGAAGTTTATCGACCCATGAGGGAAATCCTGGAGTATGAAATCCAACAGTATATTCTTCTCCATGGGCTGACTATACTGCCAGCTCCATCATTTAACCCTGAGGTAAATTATTAACATCTCTTAATGTGTATACTGCACAGTGTACAGTGAAAACTGTTTAGCAGATTAAGGCATGTGGTGTCTATTATTATTGGGAGCTTTTTTATGACATCCCTTTAATGTACTACTTACCCCCCACAATAATACAATAAATACAGAACAACGGTATGCTTAAATATTAGAAAATGGCAATAAAACATGGATAATGATGAGAAATTGCACGAGTGATAGAAAAACCAAGTAATTTAGGTTCTATTTGTTTACTCTCGTTCATAAAATGGGATTTCACTTCAGTCCTCCATATGTAAAGTGATTTTTTATATACAAGAAAAATTATTTAAAATATTATCAGTGTCATTTCCTTTGCAGGGCACCAGCATTGTATCATGCACAGAAGAGTTTATTCTTGGCCTGCAAAAAGACTTTCCTGCTACTATTCCAACAGTATTCCGCACAGGAGACAAATTGATGTCCACCTCTTCAGGCAGCAGCAAGTGTTCAACTCCTGATGTGAATGGTGATAGTGGCAGTAAGTCAACAGCAAACGTGAACAATGATCCCTGTGTCATGTGTGGTTCTCAAATAGACACAGGTCAATGTGAGGCATCAGCTTTCATTGCAACTCTTGTGTCTCAAAAGCTGTCATGTAATCACCCATCAGTGCACACTTTACAACAAAATTCTACAAATAGAATTTCAGATGGGAAAAGTAAGATGATCTTGAATGGAGAAGTGAATGACTCCAATGAGCTAAAGAACACTGTAAGTAAGACTGAAGATTCTTGTGACTGCAGCCAGAATTCAGATTGCTGTGATGGAGCCAAATCCACTGCAAATTCAGGACTTAAACTTCTAACTAAAGATATGATAGAAGATCTTCTGTGTTATGGATGCCGCATCATTCTGAAGGAGATGGTAAGTAATTGAGTCACTAGTATTTAGAAGTTCATAATGATATATATTTATACACATGTGCAGGCATCCCTCGATATACGATCAGTTACGTTCCTAAATACTTAATCGTAAAGTGAAAGATTGTGTATTGAAAACATTTTAGCATGGTGTCATTTTTCTCAAGTCAGAAATTGGGATAACTCGGCAAGGCCAAAGCCCCATATGTGTCGAATTATCAAGGGTTTACTGTAATTGCATTGCCAGCGCAGCAGCAGCCACACATGTCTGAGTCAGCTGGGTGGCTGGCAGCCAGGTAGAACTATGTGGTTCACTCTTGGTGTCACCCAGAGAATGGTTTGAGTGCAGAAAAGCTATTTTTGTACATGAACTATGTGCTATTGTTTTGTATTTTATGATGATCTTCATATAATTCTTATTATTTATTATAGCACTTTTCGTTTATTTTTGGCATATGCCAAATACAGAATAACCAAGGACTGGAACCTATTCCCATTTAAATTTAACTCGGACAATGAAGTTTCATGAACGTGTCCACTTCCTTGCTAGAGGTATACTGTACTGTAATTGTATTTGATTTCACAGTATCCTTCCTTTTATGGAATTGGCCTGCACACTTTATTCCTCTATGTGGAATATTTATTGTACATGTTGCTGTTATGCTACGTGACCACCTGTTACGTTGGTTCAACATCATAATTTCATATTGTGATTTTTAGGTCTATTTGAGAGAAAACACACAAATTGGCTTGAGTACTGGAACACAACCCCATTGACACCACGCTAAATTGTGTTTGAGACACAATCATTCACTTATTAATCTGCTTTTTGGGAAAGCATCCTGTTCCTTATATCGAAGGATGCCTGCCTCAAAATACAGTACAGGAGTAATGATAATTCAGCTTTCTTTTTTAATTCATTGTGGATTTGTTTATACTGTACTGTACATCCCAGTAGATAAATGAAAATTTTAAAGATCCTCTTTTTTAATCCTGTAGACAGAGGTACAACACCTTCCTGTTAAGATGAAGCAAACAGCAGCAGAACTGGAACGACGGAGGCATATGAGGGCACATATTCAAGACTTCCTATTGTAATGAAACACTTTCTACTAGTGTAGAAAGTAAGTGATGAAACTATACTAAAGTACTGTACTCCACTGACAAGTTTACTCCTTAAGCTCTTTTTCACACAAGGATTTATTGACACCCCCCTAAAAAAAATGCTCATGTGAATGAGAACTTACTCTTCACTTGAATTCCATTTCCATACAGTTTACAAATGAGAATAAAACCTTTATAGTCTTCCTCTTTTATTTTTTTGACACGCCAGAAATCTTGCAAATCAGACTATAGATCAGGCTGTGATGGGGGTAAATTCCACCTGAATCCGAAGAAATTGGAATGTGTATTTTCAGTTACGGTAGTATATAATTTTTTGGCCCGGATGAACAGTTTTTCAGTAGATTGTGAAGTATAAAAGCCAATAAATGACATTTTGTAATCTGAATTGACAGTTGTAAAACATGAACTGATAAATGTGGCAACAAATAACGTAGGAGGCTTACTGTATACTTTGAGTATTCACTGTGTGGAGTGTCCGAGTAAATGCTTGAACTCATAGTATATGTATCCTTCGTCATTTGTTAGTTCATCTTTTACAACTGTCAATTTAGATTGCAAAATGGCATTTATTGACCTTCGATGTCACTATCAACTGAAAAACTCTCCAATCAGGCCAAAAAATGCTGTAGTTATATCTTTAGTGATGAGGTTTCATTGTTCAAGGGGGAGTCACCTTAAAATTATTTACTTACATGTGCGGTGATTTGCATTTGAGAAATGAGGTAAATCTCCTTTTAGATGTAAGTAAGTTCCAATTCTTAACAACTTTGTGGCCGTGCTTGAGTACAAAAGCTCAGTAATGTCTACAAAATGATCCCTAAAACTGCTGGTGTCAGCAATAATCTTTTTAACCTAAAATGGCAGCAATTCATAAGGAAAATCTTTAGTCTGCCAAAGAATGAGAGTAAGCCAGAAAACAGAAGTACAGTAAAGTAACAATAAATATTCTAATTGATGTCAAAAGTGTGCAGTTTCTCCAAGAATCACACTTATTATATCATAAGCAGATTGCATCACCTAGTAACTTTACACAAAACAAATACTCGTCAAATATATGCTCTAAAGTTCTTTTTAGAAACCTCCACCATATTTTATTTAAGTGACTCCTCAGGTAACAAACAGTGGAAGCCATTACCCCCAACTCTCGTTGATGACCTTGGCTTACAACCATAATATCTACCTCACCTAACTCTATTTAGGGAAAAGTTGTTTCTTTGGAATGTCAATAACGAAATATACAGTATATTAACCCAAAAATAAAAGGCAAAAAAAAAAAGTTTATGAACACTAAGCAATCCATTTTATCATTCTTTGAATAATTGGCACAGAATATAGCAGTCCAGAATAGGAGTTCCAAATAGAAAGCAAATAGATCTAACATCAGCCCCTTTGCTGAAATAGTTGTAGTAAACTAATGTTATTACCTGTTACCCAGTTGGTGTTCCAATTCTTCATCACCATCGCTTTTGTAGTCTCACTCGAACAAGTGCTCTTCAAGTTTGTCGAAGACTGGGTCAAACAAAAGATCTTCAGTATCATCTGGAAACTTTTTCAAGCCATGTGATGTCACAATTGACTTTCCAGCCATGCATTAAAATATCTGGTAACTGTACCTGTGTTTGATCTGCAGTCTTCCAGATTTTGGCTACAATATTTGCCCTGGATGCCTGAAACTTCAATACAGTTCTGTAAGGTATTAGCAGAGAGAATTCAATAATCTTGTCATATGTTGGAAAGTTGTCAAAAAGAACCCCATATGAAATATTTGACCTTGAAATACAACAAAGATGACGATTTTTTCTCTGCTGGTACCATGTAAATCTGTATTGAAGCTTCATGCATCCAGAGCAAATTTCTTAGCCAAAATCTGTAAGTCTGCAGATCAAACACAGGGGCAGTTACCAAATATTTCAATGAACAGCTTAAAAAAAAGTTTCCTGGTGATATTAAAGATCTTCTGTTTGATCCAGTCTTCAATGAACTTGAAGAGCACTTGTATGGGTGAGACCATGAAAGCAATGGTGATGAAGAACTGGAACACTGACTGGGTAACAAGTAATAAATGTTAATTCGCTACAACTCTTTTTAGCAAAGGTCCTTTGCCAAAACAATTTCAGTGAACCCTCACTTTACACGGTTAATTCAACCCACGGCGGCCCGCGTAAAGTGAACAACATAACATATGGGATTAATTGAAATAAAGACCGGGCCGACCCCCAAACTCCACTTTTTCAGACACAATACCTACGTTGTAGTAAAAATAACTTCTTAATTTTATGATGGTATGCACACACAATTAATAATTAAGAGAAATATCAATAATATTAGGTTTTTTAACACTTACATTAGTAGAAAAGATGGCTGGCACACGGGATGGGGGTTGGTTCCAGAGGCAGATTATTGGCCCTCACCTGTATCAATTGTATCACTATCCACCACAGAGGCCAGAGGGCCTTCGTCAAACCCCTCAAAGTCCATATAAGTCCATATCCTCACTATAATTATCACTATCACTGACTTGGGCCGGCTGTGGTGGGTGGCAGGTGAAGAACTCGGTAATGTTTTGATGACTGGGCGACCTTGTGCGCACCCTGCTCGCGCCGCTTACACAACATGGCGGGAGGTTTGGATCCAAAAATGGCGCGGCTCGCCAGCCGCTCTCCGCGTAAAGGGGTACACGCACCGCGGAATGTGAGCATTCCGGTTTCGGCAGGGTACCGCGTAAACGTGGAAACGCGGAATGTGGGACCGCGTAAAGCGAGGGTTGACTGTATAGTAAACATCGGCCCCTTTGCCACAGGGGCTGATATTATCGAATTCCTTTTCTGACCATCTATATTTTGAGTCAATAATTTCAAAGAATAAAAAAAAGAGTCCAATACTATCTGTATTCTTTGGCATTTATTTTTGTGTTAATATGGATTTAATTATTTCTTCAAAAGAAACAACTTTTCTGTAAATAGGGTTAGGTAAGACAATATGGTTGTAAGACCGAGTCATTAGTGAGAGTTGGGGCTAATGGCCTCACTTTTACACTTAAATACAATGTGATGGAGGTTTCTAAAAAAAAGGTGCATATGTTGTACAACCTATTAACTTTATGGACATTTACTAACTTTTGTGGTCTGCTTATGATACAAGAAGTTGAATACAGTATTTGGAAAAATTTTGCATCCACAAATGCCAAGAAACTGTACAATTTTGACATCAACCAGCTTAGATGTCATTTGTAACTCATGTTTTATGACTTTCATTCATTCAATTTGGCACAATTATAAAAACTGGTATACAGTACTAGACGTTTTCCTTACGAACAATGGCCCCTGTCACTAAATGCACCCACAGAGCCCTGTTTACCATCACTTTTCCGAACACACAATTGAATAGCCCCCAATTTCTTTGGCTTCTGGTGGTAGTTACCTACACCACAGCCTTGTCTATGAAAATGGGTTGTGTTTTATGGTTGTTACCTAACTTGAACAAATATACATGCTAATGGTATTTTTTTTATATACCTATACCAGAAATTAAAAAATATGACAACGCTGTACTGTATACCCTTTCCACGCTAAGTTGGACGTAAGCCCCGCCCCTCATCTATAACTACAAATAGCTGACTGGTTCCCCTGAGCGTCTTACCTCCACCTGGACTGCGTGTGTACAAGCACGTATTTTTTCAACCATGATAAATATTTAACATTTTCAAACATCCTCTCTGAAGCACTAATGCCTTGAAATCATCTGCATTTTGATAGTTCAGATATTAAACATTATTTTAGATAACAGGTCTGCCTACCAATTGTGAACACATTTAGCTTGAATTTTTATGAACCAATCAGCTCTTAGTATAGAAGAGGGGCATGGCTTATGGGCCAGGTTAGCGTGGAAATATTATAGTTATACAGTATTATGTAAATAAAATATTTTACTACTCATAGAGTACAGGAGTGCTTCCAGTTACGAAAGGGATACTTTCCTGAAAAACCTTTAGTAAATTGAAGTCATTTTTACCCTTTGACTTCAGTTATATTAAGGGAGATATATGATTATTAAAAAAAAAGTAAAAACACATTTTCAAGCCATCAAGATTATCGGGTTGTGACATCAGTCTGATTCCTCCTCTTCTTGTGGTGGGCCTATGAAAAAACACTCACAGCAATTGGTGGCACATCCATAGTCATAATCAAGATTATAGGGTGTATCACCTTCATTATCAAATTCCATCCTGTTGTGTGGGGCCTGTAAAACACTCAGAGCAATTGATGTAACGTCCAGGGCTATTTTCAAGATTATCAGGCATGACGTCACTATCAAATTCTTCCTGTTGTGTGCGAAAGTTAGCATGCTAAGCATTGTGTGGGAGCCCTGATGTTAGTGGCAGCAAAGCCAGTGTTCCAGTTGGACTGCGTTGCTATGGTGAGCTTTTAGGTCACATAGCTAGCATCTTATGCAAATAGCATTTGTGTTAAATTTTCATTTAACTTTTCATGTTAAAATAATACTGTAACATTTTACTACTTACCAACTGCTGCATCCAAAATCAACTTCAGATAGTTTGCTGCTGCTATCATCAACTTCAGTGTATCTCATTTATCTTCATCGTCACTGCTATTGCTGTTTGTATCAAGGCTTTCCCCATCTCTAACTTCATATATTTTCTTTTGTGCACGCCATATAGGAGATGTCACCTGTGTGTATAAAGTAGGTCTCGTATAGCATATACAGTACAGTAGTTACTTGGAAACTTCAATTTTGTGTACGTATATATATATATATATATATATATATATATATATATATATATATATATATATATATATATATATATATATATATATATATATATATATATATATATATATATATATATATATATATACAGTGACCCCTCGTTTAACGAACGCCTCGGTTAACGAAATTTCGGTTAACGAACTGCCTTCCATAAGGATCTTCAATTCGGTTAACGAACAAAAATTCGGTTAACGAATTTCTTACGAACCGACCTCAACATGTTTTCGCTTGCACTGGCCGGGCAACCAGCTTTAGTATCAGTCCGCCAATACATTAATCGGTTCTAGGGCTTAAATTCCTAACTATTTTAGTAAATATCAAGAAGTTTATACTATTCAATAATTTTAAAAGTTTAATATTCAATTTTTTAGTCATTTTAACAATTATTGAACATAATTGAAGGTAAAGTGACTAGTTTAAAGCGCAGCATCCAGCCTCTTAACACAGCAAACAGGCGTTAGTCTCTCTCTGTTTTCACTGGAGGTAACATCTTGCTTGAGACTCTCTTCAACTAAACGCTTTTTTTCTGTGTTTCCAAGCAAATTATTGGTCATTTTGAAATATATTTTACATATTGACAATATATAATGCAGTGCAGTGTTGATTTAAAGAAAATAATCTTGAAATACACCAAGAGAACTAAAATTTTATGGGTGAAATGGTGCCATGGGGTGACTTCTCTCCACCCCAATGCCTTCTCTTCTTCCTTCTCCTCCACCCCCATTGTAATTCCATCATCATCATCATCATCCAGGAGCCATCTACATACACACCTCAAAGTAAGTGAACTTTTCTACCATTTTTGTTGAATTTAGGAAATTTTCGGTGAGCTGGAACCAATTACCCAAAAACCCATTGAAACAATGGTTTCGGTTAACGAACTTTTCGGTTAACGAACGACCTTCTGGAACGGATTGAGTTCGTTAACCGAGGGGTCACTGTATATATATATATATATACATACATATATATATATATATATACATATATATACACATACATATATATATATATGAAGATGTGAATTACACGAAAGCGCTTGGGAACTTCGTGTTTTCTTCTTTCCTTGTGGTTATCAGCATATACCTAGATCATGCACACCTACAGTGATTTACTTGCATATATATATATATATATATATATATATATATATATACACAGTGATCCTCAGTTAACGAAATACCTTCCATAAGAATCTTCAATTCGGTTAACGAAATTCTTACGAAATCATGTCAACATGTTTTCGCTTGCTCACCAGCTGGAATATTAGTCCGCCAATACAGTAATCGGTTCTAGGGCTTAAATTCGTTCCCATTTGAGTAAATATCAAGAAGGTTGTACTATTCAATAATTTTCCAAGTTTTATATTATTATTTTTTTAGTAATTTTAACACTTATTTAACGTAATTGCAGTACAGGAAACTAGTTTTTGGTGCGCCAATCAGCCACTTGACTCACCCACCAAGGCGTCAGTTTGTATCTCTGGTCAGTGGAGGTAACATCTTGCTTGTGGCTCTCTTGAACATAAACTTTTTTTACATTTTTACAGTACAATTATTGGTCATTCTGAAATTTATTTTACATATTGACAATATATAGTGCAGTGCAGTGTTGATTTAAAGAAAATAATCTTGAATTACACTTAGTGAACTTAAAATTTTATGGGTGAAATGACGGCATCAAGCATGGGGTGAGTTTCTCTTCCACCCCCACTTCCTTCTCTTCTCCCTTCTCCTCCACCCCCACTTCTAATTCCCTTCATCATCATCATCAACCAGGAGCCTTCTACATACACACCTCAAAGTAAGTGTACTTTAATGCATTTTTTTTTACTTTGGATGTAATTTTCAGTGAGTTGGAACCAATTACCCAAAATCCCATTGAAACAATGGTTTCGGTTAACGAACGACCTTCGGGAACGAATTGTGTTCGTTAACCGAGGGACCACTGTATATATATATTTTTATTTATTTATTTTTTTTAATACAAAACTGTACAGCCTTCAACTTGTCAACTACTACTTCTTCCTCTTTTCTTAAGTCGCACTTTTCAACTTTTTAATCAGATACAGTACAGTAATACCCTGATAACCGATGTATATCGGGACCACGAAAAGTCGTTGGTTAGTGAATCAACGGTTATCAAAGCAATTAATCCAATAATAATATAACAAATTCAGGGGGTTAGGGACCGGCCACCTTCCAAAAACTCCCATCTACCCTTGATATATCTCTATCATACACGCTGTCGAGCAAGAAAATAAAGTAGACATATAAAGCAAGCATTAATCAGCATTAAATAAGCAATGTAAAACATAAGTTGACTGTTATTTACCTGTGTTGAGGATGGTAGAGACAGTCTAGGATGGCAAGTTCAAGTCTCTACCAACCTTTGCTGGTCCATCACCACTCTTAACCCTCTCGTGCATGATGATGCGATTCACGTCATATTCACAATAAGACCAACTTCACAGTGATGCAAATCGAATCACCAAACTTTTAAAAAAATTGCCAAAAACTAAGTTTTCAACAGAATTGCATACAATTTTGATGTGTCATAATAGCAAGTAAGTTCTATCAAATAAAATAATTGGCAACTATCGAGGCGCATAGGAAGGGAAGAACGGAATGATAAATGCACATTATTATCTCAGCAGTCAGAACGTGAGTGTGAGTCGCATCCATTTAAATTTGCAAAACTATGCAGGCTGCCTCAACTTCTACTCCTGGATTACAGTGCATACCCTACTCCCTGAAATAATATATTTTTTGTTTTAATGAAGTGATGGTTGTGTAATGTAGTATTTTTTTGTTCATATTTACAGAGAAGGTGTTTAGTTTTCAAAAGCCATTACTGTATCACTCCGTATCAGGCTATACAACCTTGTTATAGAGACACTGTCTCGAAAAAAAATCTCTGAAAGAAGATGATTTTCGAAAACTCCTGTTAAGGGATAGTGAGGATCAAGTGGATAGTGATATTAAAGAGCCTGGTAGTGAAAATGATCGTGATAACAACAAAGAAAGTCATGAATCTAAGGGAGAAATTGTGTCGGTTGCATCCACATTATCAAGTTCCTCGCCATTAGAGACTCCCTCTACCACTATCCCCACACCAACAACGTACCACCTGCACTCTTTCTTCACCATAACCTTCCACATCTCAAGCATCTTCATATCTCCTGCATTATGCAAGCCTCAAACCACCCGCTACCTCCCTTCCTCAATACCCAGTTGGTCCACCACCACCCCACCACATGCCTCCCATGGTCACCAAGCACCTTCCACCTCCCACACTCCACTTATCAGCTATGCTACATTGGAATCTCTCTCCTTCCGTACTCCACACTCCCACACCCTCATCCACCTCCCCACACACTCCAAACTCACACATTCACTCTCACTCTTACATTTTACTAGGGCTCATTCACTCACTTCCTCCCCCAAATTCCATCTACAAGTTCTGGAAGTCTTCCAACTCGCTGAAGGATGTGAGTACAGAATTATCTTATTTTATATCAGTACAGAATGAATTTATTTTATAATATATTTTCTGTTATTTTATACAGGTACAGTATTGCATTTTATTATTAGATATTGTGTTATTTTCTTTTACTATATGACAATCATGCAATGCGGTTGAATGCCCATCCACCTACATATATGATCTTATTTTATATTATACTAAAATACAATTTGTTATATATTTTTTTTAATTTGTGTTATTCTCGTATATTATACTATAAACCCATACCATAAGTCATGCAATGCGGTCAAACGCTTGCCCGCTTGTTAAAAAAAATTGCCAAAAAAAACAACAACTCAAGACTTTCATGAATTTTATCACTAAAATTCTCTTCATTATAGTGTCGGCTACAAAATGCAATACTCTGCATAATTTATATTGATGTAAAACATAGGCACAAAAATAAACAAAAAAGATAAAAACTAAAGATTTTACCATTTGAGAATCAGTTTTTGCATTTTTCTCAAAAACTATTAGTCCTATCAGAAATCAGATTGCTGCATTGGAAAGCTACCGTAATAAAAATTATGCTTCTAGCAGTGTATAGAACTTAAAAAGTTGGCACAGACAATTTTCAGCTAGGAGGTTGTGCACGTATTGGTATATATTTTTTTTTCGTGTTGCAGAGCAATCAGTTACAAAGCCAAAGATATATGTTTTATGCCAATAAAAAAAATTGGGGAATTGATAAAGCAAAACAAATATATATTTACCGTGTGCTGTCTCGCCTGCCCTGGGGGCCTAACAGATGTGAACTTGAAAACGTAAAACTTATCGCATGCACGAGAGGGTTAATACACCTTATAAAATCTTATCAAGCTGCCCCTAAGAAGGGCAGCACAAGAGGAACTATCACTAGATCATTTAGGCTTGATTGCATAACACACTAAGTCAGAACAAAAAAATCAAGTCTCTACCAATCTTTGCTGGTCCATCACCACTCTTATTATGCCCAGCACAAGAGGATCTATCACTGGAGAGTTTAGGCATGATTGCGTAACACGAAGTCGGAAATAACGAAAAAATACAAAGTAGGAGACATGGTAAGTGTAACCAAGTGCAGGGGGGCGGTAACAGTCAGAGGCAATGCGCAGAGCCCTCTCGTGGCAAGAATTCGCACCACGTCACTACCCACCAAATTCAAAACAGTTCTGCCTCTCCTTTCCCGATTGCCGGAGATCTGGGGTATCAACGAAACTTGTGGGGTATTTCCCCTATATGTAATCATCGGTTAATGGGACATCAGTTACCAGGGTATACCTGTAAACTTGTATTCCAGAACATTTGTTGCCAAGGAGGAAAATGTAGTATCAGGATTCAAGGCAGCCAAGGACCATATCACTCTACTGCTGGAAAGTAGTGTGGAGAGTGACTTGAAGCTCAAGCTGATGCTCGCCTACCATGCTGAAAACCTCAGAGAACATCTTCCCACCATTTGGCGCTCTAACTCCTAGGCATGGGTGACCACTGTGCTGTGCCAAAGTTATGTGGTTGGCTACCTCTCCAACCAGCTCAAGGAGTATGCTCACAGTAAAAACATCTTCAACAAATTTCTCCTGCTTACATATACTGTATCTACCCGAAATTACGAGATGAACAATAACATAACTCACAGTTCAGCCTCACCCGCTCCGACTGCTACTGGGTGGCGGGTCAGCGACTCGGCTACACAATTACGTGCCATCTCCACAGATTTTATTCCTCGTTTAGTATATCATTTCTCATTGCCTCTCGTTTAATGATCATTCCACTTAACGACCTGTTTTTCAAGAATGCACTGTGATCGTTAAACAAGTGATACCTGTATATAACATATAAGTAATCAAATCAGGAAAAAGACTTTGAACAATGAAACATTCCTCATCACAGCCTTGCTCATCGTGAAGATGGTCATCTATGCACCTACCATAAAACTGTCAAAAGCTATTTTGTACCAACATAAAACTACAAAAGCTGAACATGAAGTGGAGGAGCAATCCTGTAATACTACTTCCTAGCAAAACTCACAACCAAGCAGCTATGTTACTGCACTAGCCAATTTGAGGGCTTGGCTTTCATACTATGCTCCTTTCAACAGCTGGGGCCAGTCTTACAACTGCCAATCCCTCTGCCACAACCATCATCTTCAGAAAAGGGAAATTAGAAGGAAACATTATCCTTGGGAACTAAGAGGTCTCATTAGGTTTGGCCATCAAGTTATTACCTCATGCAACAGCTAAGGGCCATGATCTTTGATTATAAGGCCTATCTACTCTGTGCTTTCATTTCCAATTGACTAACCAGGAATCCAAGAGAGGAAGTGAGCTACCTGACTACTAGTAAATGTCATTACAGGACCAATCCCCCATTTTTAGCTAGATGTCCTCCACCAGGCAGCTCACATTGCTGATAGCCGAGTGGAGAAGTAACAGGAAAGCATTAACACAAATGAAGAAGCATCTACAAATATTTGTTCATATCCTTAACTTATATATGAAATACAAATAGTGAATCTTTGCATCCACAGTAGTTCATAATACTGTACAGTACTTCCTATCAATATACTGTGTTGTGTATTCAAGTCCAATCATTTTACCTCTACTTGTATGAAACAACTACATTGTTCTTAACCCCAAATCTTTCTTTCAGCCTTCTTTAATGCAATAATTTCTGCAGTATAGTTTGATATAATTAAGAACAGTGTGGTGACTTACTCGTGAATGTGTTTTTCCTTGTTGGCTGTCAGCTTGGGGTGAGACTGCCCACATATCCAGATCATGAAAATGTGGTACAACCAACCATTTTAACATTGACTTCTCTTTTATCTCTGTGGTAACAATTGTCGACTCTACGTGTTGTTCACGGAATTGATGGATATTTTCAGCAACTGCATCCCAGTTGAGAGGCTGAAAAAGAATTGGATGAGAAAACAGAGGAGGTTATATGAAGAGTGATATATACACACACTAATTTTCACTTTTATAAACAAGTGGGTAATAAGATATATTTTGATCCAATCAATGCAGATTAGACTATCAACCATAGGCCTATCCTCTTGACTGTAATGGTAAAACTTTGAAGGCATATCCATCATCCCTTGATGATTCAAAACAACAAGAAGCCATCTACCCCCTCAAAATAATTTCAACAGACACCCATGGCTCGAATTGATAAGGGATCCACAAAGCTGCAACGACATCGAAATGTCAGCATCTTTTAACATTTACATTAGATGTAGTTCCATCAAATTAGAGTGGATGTTTTAATGCTGTCAGAAAGCACACATTAGTAATTAAAGCCTTGTGCGCTTTATTCTCACATTCTGATTATTACGGTACAGTACTCTACTTTTCCTTTTCACCACTTCTTTAAAGGACTGGTTTTATGAATTGACTACCTATACATACTGTACTATAGTATATATTGTAGAAGTATTATCTATGTTTTGTTCCCTCAAAGGTTTTCATAGGTTACCACAAGGGGAGGTTTTTTCTATACATAATATAACCAGTATGACATCAAATGTTGCACATTATGCAACAGCACTTACATTTTTGCTGATAAAATCTACAAACTGAATTAGTTATTAAGAAAGAAAGGCATTCAACACACTTTAAATAAAATACAACAGAGAGAGATATAATTACAAACTATTCAAAATAAAAGTGCAATTACAGATATAGATATATTATATTAGGACTAATTCCCATGTGGTAACAGTAATACAATACACAGTATCTTAAACTGACAGAAAATATTTAGAAGCTATGTCATCTACTTATAGCAATGTAATCAGCCTGCTGCATAACCATCTTATACACAAAGTATAATTTGTACAAAACTAAAGAAATATCTCGAGCAAACTAAGGATTCAACATCAGTACAGTAGTTGATTAATGTTCCAACGCTAATACTGTAAATGCCTTAGTTAGGCTAATACTCTTCCACATACCTCACGGGTACCATATGAAGCATACTTCTTGTTATAATGATCAAAATGTTGATCTTCAAGAACCAAGCCAAGTGCTGGTGCTATAGGCAGATCTATGAAATCTTCCTTAAATGCTCTCAGTATTAAGTCTGGTTTAGCTAGTCCTCGACAGATGACCATTGTCAAGGCGATCATTTTACGAATCTGATGCAGCAAGAAACTTTGACCTGCAAGGAATACCACAAACAGTACACTAAGGTCACACTTAAAGAACATGTGTTCTTTAAAAAGTATTCATTATGTGAATTCTTGCTAAACAGGGCCTATTTTCTCAGAGGGTCCAGTGTTAATAGCTTAAAATGATTTGACCCCCCAAAACAGGCTAAAAACTGAGATGTGCTTCAGCTCTAAGTATATCTATCCCAAAACATAACCTAACAATATTAATCATCAATCCTTTCTTCTGTACATTTTCCATGTTTGTGTGGCTTAGCCATGATTACCTGATGACATGGTGTCCCAGTAGGCATCAGGCAAATTTGAAGCAAGTTTCATGGCTAGATGCCTTTCCTATCACCAAACCATTTTTACAGAGTGGGAGGATGATGATAACTGATTTAAAAGTCAGTGAACACCAACACTTCCCAGTTCTCACAACAAACATAAATGATGTTTTTACAGTAAATATAATTTTGCCTCCTGACCATTTCAGCAATCAAAACAAGTATAATGGCATTCAAGTTGTGACAGCATTAGCTATTACTATGTTCCTGGTTAACAAGATGAGAGAGCAAGAGTGTTTAACATAATTTAGGGCAAAAAGTCAGTCTGGAAAAACCCCAATCATTCTACAATTTTCATCTTATGAGCATGGCTAAGTTTCAGGAATTAATGCCAAGAATCCATATTTACCTTGAGAATATAGAATTGAAAATTTGATTCTCGCATTGCCGTTTCATTGTGTCAAATGAGGTCTCATGATTTCCATTTAAGTAATACAGTGGAACATCGATATAACGCGCGAGATACGTTCCAAGAGAGGTCGCTTTAAACCGAATTCGCACTAAATCGAAGTGTTGTTTCAATGGAATAATTTAGTTTGGTACTTGAGAGAAACACAAAATACTAAAAAGACTGAGAGTCTACCCAGATACACCTCAGTCCATCTCCTAGAATAAACAAAACATTGTTTTTTGTAGTATTATATTAAAACAAACACTCATAAATTAACACGGCTAAAATTATGGGACATGAAATGGTCTGTTTACTAGCGATCAGCTGATGGTGAGGGGGGGGGAGAGGTGAGGTGCTATGTTTGACAGTTGATGCCAAGGTCTAGTACTTATTTATTTATCTGTCCTTAAGAGTTTTTCTCTTATAAAATGTCACTAAACTGACCTGGGAGAATATAATTAACATTGCTGGAATTCTTATAAGGTAGTGATTAGTTTTAATATAAACATGCTATAGTTCGCATTAGACATACAAATATTAGTTCTAATTACAAAAAGCAAAAATTTTATCTTTTGTGCAAAATATATGACGTTTATTCATATTTTTGCTGTCTTGCGAGGATTCTAGCAATGCAAATTATCTTCTAACTGAAGTCTGTGATGATATATAAGATAAAAACTAAAAGCCTACTGTATAACCACCAAACCCTGGCTGGGGAAGGGGAGGTGACAGTGACATGTTTGACAGTTGTCACCGAAGGTCGAGTGAAGATTGAGTTTTTGTTTTTTGTTTATGAAATGTCACAGAAGTGACAGGGGAGAATATAATTTACATTGCTGGAATTCTTATAAGATAGTGATTAATTTGAATATAATCATGCTATAGTTTACACTAGACAAAAAATTTATTAATCATTTAGTACATTGAGTACATGTACAGTACAGTTTGCCCTTAGGACATTGTAGCGTGCCCAGAGAAACATTAGGCGCGAATTTTAAAATATTGCGCCAGATTGACTCGCGCAAAATAGGAAAGATTCCCTTTAAATTAAAACATTGTCCTTAATTGTGGGTTTCGCTTTAAATCAATAATCTTATATTGAATTGCTTTAAATCGACGTTCGACTGTACTGTACTTTCATTATTTTAGCTTGTATTTCATATATGTAATAAAGAAAAGAGGTTTCAAACCAAGACAATTTTCACGCATGGGATTATTTGTGAAGGATATATATACAATATTCTGAAATAATACACACCGTATACAGTATTGCAACGTATAAGTCAACTTTGGAAGCTCAATGTTTTTTTTGTTTGTTTTTTTCAAAAACTAGGGGTCATCTTATATAACAGGTATAAAATGTCAACCTTTAAGTATGGCTCTACCACTAGCATCAGAATTTAACTTTATCATACCGGTAGATCTCAGTTACTCAGTACTGGGTTGCAACTTAATTTCCAGCACTCACAATTTGTTTACCACACTATAGCATTTTTTGCATTAGTGTAACTGTTACTGAATCAACAACTTTTAAATGGTGAGAACTGTTGTCTAGTCTGAGCATCAACCGTAGCTGCAGCAACTGGTTGTTATCTGTTCTGACAGACAAAGTTGCTGGAATCATTGATTTCCCATAGTTATTTGGCATGAGTGACTGCACTTTAAGATGCTAAAGCAACAAGATTATGCAACAAGAAATTCCATATTAAAAAATTATGCAATCATCTAAGATGCCAAACCTAAATACTGTATACTCTTGGAAATCCTTCATGTGCTTCATACTGCATATTGGTGGAATCCTGTAGGGATAGCACCACAAAACACTCAAAATTGGCATTATATCCAACAAGAAATGATAACCTACTATGCCATTTTATATATCAATGAGGTAGCATGTTTTGTACAAAAAGTGCAGAAAAAAAAAGAAAACAGCAATGTAATTCCAAGTACTGTACCTCTAATTTTTATGGTGATCCATTCCAAGCCACCACGCTCATATGGTTCACTGCAGTTTGCATCAATAACACGGCGGGAGGCACGCAGTTCATGGTAGTTTCTGAAAATAGTTTTATGTATCTATATGAAGATTACTTTCATATATGCTAAATCATATTCCTCTGTATAAGTTAGTGAATAGTAAGGCACATATAGGTATTTGTAAGTGCAGACTGTAAATTGGAATAAACAAAAGTAGTTCCTGGTAGTCTACAGTATTTAGAAGATGAGACATTTAGCACACTTATAGTCAGCAACACCCTGCAATATATCATTTACACACCTGCACCTCTTTGTCTGCCCATTTCCCAAGACTACTGCACATTACTGAATTTCTGCCAACACCCTTCTTACAGGTAGCACACAGTGATTTTCCACTGCAGGTCCTTCACCCATGTCACTAAGCATTACTTTAGTTTTTGTTATGTTTGCTCCTTAACCCTTTGACTTCATTTTGTTTTCCATTTCTTATACAGGGAGTCCATGTTATTTGTATACTCATTACATACTCATATATGTACAGTGGTCCATCGGTTAACGAAGTCAATTCGTTCCAGAGGGTCGTTATTTAACCAAAAATTTCGTTAACCGAAACCATTGTTTCAATGGGATATTGGGTAATTGGGTTCCAGCTCACAGAAAAGTATACTGTATACAAAGTAAAGCCAAAAATGCATTAAGTCAGAAACACTCCTAAAATTTCCCTAAATCGCCCTTAAATCACTATATATATCGTACATATACACTAGAACTCTTAAATCACTGCTGTAATGTGATACAGGTGATTAATTTTATCTCTTGTGCAAAATATATGACATTTATATTCAAATTATTTGCTGTCTTGCAACGATTCCAGCAATGCAAATTATATTTTCCTAACTTTAGTCTGAGATATTATATAAGATAAACACTTTAAAGCCTAACGAAAACATGAAACTTTTGTCTGGGAAGGCAGAGGTAGGGAGGGAGGGAGGGAGCGTAGGAAGAGGGGGGAGCGGGAGGTGAGGTGTATTTTGATTGACAGATAGTGAGTCTGGTGAAGTATAATTTGTTTATTTACTTGGATTTTTGTTTTAGCTCATAAAATTCATAGAAATTACCAGGGCAGAATATAATTTACATTGCTGAAATTCTTATAAGATAGTGATTAATTTGAATATAAACAAGCTAAAATTTGCATTAGACATACAAATTTTAGATCTAATTTAAGAATTTTATTAGAGAGAGCAAAAATTTTATCTTGTGCAAAATATATGAATTTTATATTCAAATACAAATTATATTCTCCTAACTTTAGTCTGAGATATTATATAAGATTAAAACTGTAAGTCTAGTGCTTTTCACCAAACATTTTTTTGGGAAGGTGGGGGGTAGGGAGGGAGGGGTGACAGTGACAGGTTTGACAGGTGGCACCTGTGGTGTGAAGTATTTAATTGTTAATTTATGTCCTTTAGATTGAGTTTTTGTTTTTTGCTTATAAAATTTAATAGAAGTGACTGGGGTGAATTTAATTTGCATTGCTGGAATTCTTATAAGATAATGATTAATTTGAATGTAAACATGCCATAGTTTGCACTAGACAAAAATTTTAGTAATCATTTTGTACTTTATTCTGATTACATGTACAGTTCAGCTTTGCCCTTAGGACAGTGTGTGCATGTAAATGAGTTTCAATAAATGAATAAAGTTACATATATGAGCCAAAAATAGTTGAAAAACTTTATGTAAACAGAGTTTGGATGGCTAAATTTTAGAATGACCAATAATTTTAATACTGTATAAAAAAATGCACAAATATTAAAGAGCACAATTTTCTTGATATTTACTCCAATGGAAACGAATGTAAACATAGAAGAGATTACTGAATTGGCTGAGTACCTCCTCAGCTTATCAGCTGATGTTCAAAACAAAACATAATTTTCGTAAGGATTTCGTTAATCGAATTTTTTTTCATTAACCGAATTGAAGATTCTTATGGAAGGTAATTCGTTAACTGAAATTTCGTTAACCGAGGCGTTCGTTAACCGAGGGACCACTGTATAGCAGTTTTTACCACCAAATAATTACTATTTGCATGCCATACTCGATTAGGGATTTACAATAGTCCTGGATTATTCAAGTAGTTTATATTCATGCCTGTGATAATTCTTGGGAAGTAATAAAATACTTAATATATATACTGTACAGTAATTTGAAATATCTGCTATCAGACGACATGTGGGGTAACTATGGTTTCATCAACATAAACACATATTTAATGTTCTCACTAAAGGCATGAGGATACACTTCACTACCAAAGAAATGTCAGACAACTGACCAGAGAAGAATAGAATAAAGTAAACAATTCTAAGACAACATTTTCTCACTTTAACACTAGTGTCATCATTTTAAAACACTTTAACAACTTATAACTCACCTTGAGATTGAACAACTGCTTCCTGCTGCAGTTGTTCAAGGCCAGCAATACAGATGAAAAACTACACTAACATTATTGCATCAACTTACACTTTAGATGTAAAATTATGGAAATTACGATGGCCTATATACATCTGCAACAATCTTCCGAGTTCCTCAATGACTTCTGGAGTGATACGATAATCCTCGCTGATCACCTGTGAACCATTCACTTTTTAATCACTTAACAAGTGAGAAATCAAATTCAATACAACTTAATAAATAAATTTTGTGTACTGTATTTTTATTGTGATGAGATATACAAAGTGGCCACCCATATTTCATTACATATACTGTACAGTGTACCTGTACATTTATAGTGAAAACAAGCTTCAAGAAACAGAAGTATTACACTGCTACTAATATTTAATTAGTGAGTACAGTAGTTGTACTCTATCTGTACAGTATTGCATTCCTTTGTTAAATGTTGTTCCCTCTTAATCAGCATAATTGATTAACCAGCATCACCCATGCCAAATGACAAAGTACAGTACCTGTATAGTAAATAACAAATGTTATGAGTAGTACCAAGTGTCATAATTTATCAAAGCAAGATAACACTGCCAGTCATAAGGAGGGAAGTTGCCATTAAAATTGACTTTTGCTCCTATATGTATACAGTACATGCCTTAATTTTAATTTTCCACAGTATAAAATAACAAAACCTGATGGAAATATTGTGTAGTTTTATCATGTCTTCGAGTCAAACTTTCCCATTTAGGTACAGATCTCCAGTTACACAGCATAATGGTTGTCTATGTTTTGTTTTTTGTTTTTTCTTAAAAAAAAGCAGTCCCCAATTTACAAAGACCCTGGTTATAAATATCCAGTTATGAAGAAAAAAAACTTGTCCCATGTTTAATTTACTGTACATACAAAAAATCTTAAGTTACCATATGTATTTCTTTTCACTTGTAATTTTTTTCTTCACAGCACTGGAAGTTAACAAAGCCATCTCAAGGCTTCCTGTACCAGACCTGGTCAGTTTATAAAGACAATCTAAAAACAACATACAGTACTGTACTGTATTAAGAGTGGTTAACTAAGCTAAAAATAAAATGTATGTAGTGTTTTTGTTTTTATGGCTCACAGGATTGATTAAGAATGCTGTTGTGCTAAGTTTGATCTTTTGTCATTGGAAAGAATAAAATGTTAACCTCTTCACTATGGCAATGCCACTTTTAGTATTGTATTTACCTATCACCAGACAATTTTATTCAGCATAGAGAGGCCCACGTACACTGTGGTGATGCTACTTTTAATATTTTATTTGGCTAATGTTGGACGATTTTATGTGGCTTAGAGAGGCCCCCATACAAAAGGGGTTAAATGGATAAGTTTAGCATTTTTCTTCAGATAAAACCTTTTATCAAAAATTAAATCCAAATCTACAAGTAAAACGTCTAAAAATGCATAAAAGTATAGTGCAGTAGACTTCCAGCTTGTGCGTCACTACGAAATTAAAACCATTTGTCTTGACTGATCATTACAGTTTTGTACTGCATCATAACCAGTGGAACAGCTTCTCAGTAACTTTCATGTCTTCCCAGACTTGAATTTCATTTATTATGTTTCTTATTGGCTTATAATCTTTGTACACCAAAAATTTTCCTTAAAAATATGTTTTGTAGCATTTTAAGTTGTTTTGAAGATTGCTTGGGGGGATAATAATGTATCTCAATTTTTATAATGGGAGTACAGGGGGTAACGACTTAAAAACGTCCGACTTATGAACACCCACCGATATGAACGAGGTTAAGCTTTAAATTTACAGTATTTTATTTACCTGATGACTTATTTTTTGCTTTCATTTACTGTACAGTGTTTTGTCATTCTATTTCTTCTTTTCTCTTAAATTATGTGATTTTAGATGTATATAAGGACTTAGACTATGATAAAGTGGATTTTAAACATTGTTCTGTAAGTAATGCACTTAGCATGTGTTACGACTTACGTATGTACATTTTCGACTTAAGAACGTCCTCAGGAACAGAACCCGTTTATAACCCTGGGACCCCCTGTATTGAATTTAGGAAAATGTGATCTCATTTACAAAAAAAATCAATAGTATACTGTACTTGTACAAAAGGTTTTCAGGAATAGTTTTCAAGCTGGGTAATACTTTTCAGGATAACATCTAGTATTATGCAAAATGAGGAAAATCTGTACAGTATAGTGTTTTCAGTACAATAATTATATTTCTCTATGCTAAAATTCCTTGAAGTGATGTTTGTGTGTGAGTTATATAATACTGAATTAGTTGATAAAACAACATGATACTGATAAATGAAATGTAAAATTACCTAATTCTAAATTTACCTCGGTACAAGGAGCAAAAGCAAAAGTTGGGCACATGTATGAATAGGTGCGAGAGTCACACCACAGCTTGCTGCTGAAGCTTTTTATAACTCGATATGCAGCCATCACACGGATCTGGTCACACAGATGTTTATTTATTTCCCCTACTAGGTCAGGCACATCTGTAGCTGCAAAGAAGGAAGATATGGCCCATTAGTAAGCATTTAAAACTCTGAAAAGATTCAAATACTAAGTAATGTACAAAGAAGGTGGGTGGGAACTTACTTCACATAAGAAAAATTTAAAAAATTTGAATAGTGTATTGAAACTGTATACCGTACTGGTATATGAAGAGAAAATTATTATTTGTCACTTAACTCAACACCTGAACAACATTTTTAATGGGAGATATTAAAAATCACATTAAATACACTATTTATTTTCTTACTCACGAAACAGAGCAGAAACTAACAGCCGTGCTGCAGACACGCCTTTGTCAGTTCGAGAACCCCGCTGGAAGGAGAACAATTGTGGGACATTGAGCTCCTCTTCTGTGATCAAACCTGCAGCAAGCATGGCTGCAAGCAAATCACTTTCAATAGTACGACTATACTGATTCCTGTAAATATGGAAAGAGGAATTTTATTCACTGCTTGAAACACTTAGAGAAAATGAACATTATGATGCCTGTCACAGTAAACTATCATATTGAGAATTAAAGTTGCCAATACACAGAATCCCTTGCAAAATCCCAGGTACAGTAATTCTAAGAATAAATTCCGGTATGAAAGATTTCACTCTCCGTTTTAAGAATACAGTGATCCCTCGGTTGACGAACGCCTCGGCTAACGAATTACCTTCCATAAGAATATTAAATTCGGTTAACGAAAAAAAGTTCGGTTAACAAAATTTTTACAAAATCTTGTCAACATGTTTTCGCTTGCTCACCAGCTGGAATATTAGTCCGCCAATACAGTAATCGATTCTAGGGCTTAAATTCGTTAAAATTTCAGTAAATATCAAGGAAGTTGTACTATTCAATAATTTTCTAAGTTTTATATTAAAATTTTTAGTCATTTTAACATAATTGCAGTACAGGAAACTAGTTTTTCATGCGCCAATCAGCCACTCAACTCACCCAACAGGCGTCAGTTTGTATCTCTGGTCAGTGGAGGTAACATCTTGCTTGTTGGCTCTCTTGAATATAAACCATTTTTACAGTACAATTATTGGTCATTCTGAAATTTATTTTACATATTGACAATATATAGTGCAGTGCAGTGTTGATTTAAAGAAAATAATCTTGAATTACACTTAGTGAACTTAAAATTTTATGGGTGAAATGATGGCATGAAGCATGGGGTGATTTCTCTTCCACTCCCCACTTCCTTCTCTTCTCCCTTCTCCTCCACCTCCACTTCTAATTCCCATCATCATCATCATCAACCAGAAGCCTTCTACATACACACCTCAAAGTGAGTGTACTTTACTGCATTTATTGTTACTTTGTATGTAATTTTCGGTGAGCTGGAACCAATTACCCAAAATTGCATTGAAACAAAGGTTTCGGTTAACGAACGACCTTCTGGAACGAATTGTGTTCGTTAACCGAGGAACCACTGGACAGTTTTGTACTATATCCTTGGTTATAGGATTCACTATTGTCAATGTATATACACCTTATACAGTACTGTATAATAAAATTAGATATAAATTACCAATAAGAAGCCTCCTTCAGTACACAGTACTGTATATCCATATATTTCAGCAATCATAACCCAGAATCCACCATCTTAAAAAATATGACCTTATGACTTTAAAACCCCATCCTGTTTACCACAGACCTATGTAAGCTATATTTTTCATTTTATAATTCATTTTTAACAAGTACCGGGTATATGTACGATTTTTATTTTTAATTGTCTTTCCATTACATGCCAGGTATGAGGCCCCCTGAGCTTTAACGATGAAACTTTGAAGCCTTCAGTTAAACTGGTTATGGAGAGAAAACTATTTGTTCAAACAAAAATTATTTTTTTGGGTTAAGTTAAGCATGTATCCCCTTTATACAGCACTCTCATAAACCCATCTCACTTCTGCATGCCGTAGTATCCTTGGCCACTGAAGGAGATGAGTAACGCAAATTTCCTCTTCATTCTCAGTGGCTCATCAACATCAGGTGTAGGGTTTAATACGATGTGCTTCACCTCAGCCTCAGTCATCTCATGTTCAGGTAGATGCTGTACTCTCATACCTAGCATACAGAAATAAATTAACTTTTTTAGACAGAGCTTTATTGAGATATATGTAAGTCTGGTCCCCTAAAGTTTAATAAAAGTCTTTACTAAAATGTCGGAGGTTGGCAATATTTATACATTTTTTTTCCCATTTTCTAAACTAAAGAAATTTCCCAAAGATTTTCTGTTTGTGTAAAATTTTCTTCTATATCTCGAATCTTGTTCCAAACTTTCAGTCCTTTCATATGAATTTCCAAAACTCAAGCTTCCATAACTTGAGAGATAGTTGTTGTTGGAGCATTTAGTATCACCTCCCTTTCTGGATACCTGAGATGCCCACTGAAGGGAAGCTAACCATAAAGGACCAATCCTGAGAGCCCATGTTATTGCCAAGCCCAGTACTAGGCAGATTGGAAGCCCACACTCCACCCATCCCATGTGTGGACATCTACCAGGACTGAATGGGGATAGTTGAGCTAAAGGGAAGGGCAAGAAGCATTCTAACTAGTATTATTATATCACATGTTCATTCAGGCCTCCCACCCTCTACTGCCTTGCTCCTACTCTCTCAGTTCATAGTGGCAGTTGCAATGGAGAGGTTAATTAATCTTTTAGATTAGTCTTTGGATTTAGACCATAGCTATAATGTGTTTATCATACTCCAGCTAACTAGTTTCTTGCTTGTACATGAAATAGGATGTTGGGACCAATCATTACTTTTACCCCAAAAAAAAAAAGAGTATGACCCAAAGAATTCAGCACTTTAATACCACCCCCCAAAAGGAAAAAAAAATCATCAGTGTTCCTTCCAGGCCCTTATCATTGTGGAAGGCACAGTGCTCGTATGTACTAGTGGCGACAATATAACTACTGTATGTTATTTGTCAAAAAATACAATTATTAATCCTATACAAAGTTGAAAACATCACTCCCTTCATTCTATGAATATAAATTATCTTTATTACATTTATATGCTAATAAAATTTTGGGAGAAAAATAATCACTCACCTTTAAGGCTTGACAATGTGTCATTGTTCATATTAGGCAAGGAGGTCACTAATGAAACTGCTGGAAGATGCCAAATTCCTAGAGCTGGGGAACAATGATATCTTGGTGGCCATGATCTTGCCCATCTAACTAATTTTATGAAGTCTCTATATTTTGGTAATCCTGAAATATAACAAGAATCACAGAAAATTATCACTACAGCTACAGTATTATTTTTTATCTATTAATGTCAAAGATTTGTTCAATGTTCTGGTCACTAGAAAGATAAGAAAAACTCCTATGTAAACCAATCCAAGATCTTAGCTAAAACACCCAACCGAGTTATGTCAAAACTCAATTTAGAAAAAGACTATGTATACAGCCACACAGACCTAGAGACATTCAGCTGATGCTAGATGCCTTCTCATCAGTTTCATTGTTTCAAGGTGAGATGATAAATTGTCAAACAAATCATTTATATACTGTAATATGTTTCCAAGGGTAGTACAGTACCATTCTCCTATCAAATACAAAATAGATAAAACAAATCACTGATAAAAAATGGCTCAGAAACAACAAAATATCCAGTTTCATGTATACTAAAAACCAACAACTCATACATGTGTCTTTTCATAGTCCTATACGAACACTAAACCCTTTTAAGAAAAAAGAACGAGTTTACTATTAATAAAAATAATGCAGTATTAAGACATAGACTTCTGTATCTGTGTTTTAAAATCCCTTTAGTCTGAACGAGAAAAAGTTTTTCCATAAAGGAAATTTTAAAACATCAACTCAACTGATCTCACCTCAATGTTTCAACCTAAATAGACATCCTTGTGTGCATTTCATGTTCATTCTCAGTATTCATAGTATTTTAACATTCTTCCACTCTTGCATTTAAAATACTGTATAAAAACCAGAGGTAAATCAGACATAATCACATAAGCAACACATAGTAAAGTACTGTACAATACAACATAATACAATCTATAATTATATTGAACTGTACAGTAATTCCGTGTTTTCCGCAGGTTTTTTGTCACGGTTTTGACCATTCGCGTTTCTTTTTACTAAAAAATTATATATATATATATATATATATATATATATATATATATATATATATATATATATATATATATATATATATATATATATATATATATATATATATATATATATATATATATATATATATATATATATATATATATATACAGTATAGTCTGCATTTACGCGGCTTTTGTTTACACGTTTGGTCATTTACGCGGTGCCTTGCCAGAATGAAATGCTTTAATTACGCAGTAAATTTGGTCATTTACGCGGAAGCGGCGCGGGCAGGGTGCGCACTAGGTCGCCCAGTCATCAAAACATTACCGAGTTCTTCACCTGCCACCCACTACAACTGGCCCAAGTCAGTGATAGTGAGGATATGGACTTTGAGGGGTTTGACAAAGAGGCCCTGTAAGCCTCTGTGGTGGATAGTGATACAATTGATACAGGTGAGGGCCAATAATCTGCCCTCTGCCTCGGAACCAACCTCCCATCCCCGTGTGCCCAGCCATCTTTTCTACTAACGTAAGTGTTAAAAAACCTAATATTATTGATATTTATCTTAATTATTAATTGTGTGTGACTATCATAAAATTAAGATGTTATTTTGACTACAAGGTATGTATTGTGTCGGAAAAAGTGGAGTTTGGGGGTCGGCCCGGTCTCTATTTCAATTAATCCCATATGTTCTGTTATTTCATTTACGGGTTTCTCGTTTTACGCGGGCCTACACGGGTTCAATTTTGCGCCATTTTCGATATTTCCCTGTGCGGTGCGGCAAACAGATGCCACCCTTTCCCGCCTCAGACACCCGCTGCTCCGAGAAGCCTCTGTCCACACGTGCCTACCGTACTGTGAACGATACTGTGATTACCTCTTCTGTTTGTCCTCCCACGTGCATTCCATATGGCTCCGGGACGTAAGCCAGCCTCATCAAAGGCAAATATTACTAGCAAAGACTCTAAAGTGACCAAGAGATCAAGAATAGTGATGAACTTAACGGAAAAAAACAGTTTTATTGGACAAGCTCAGAGGTGGTATGAGCTATGGCTCGAGATGTGGTGAAGACTGACAATTCATTTGTGTCTTTTGTCAGAATACAAGTCTTCAAGTGGAGGAATGTGGGTGGAAGAGGACTGGCTGGCTGGCGTGACTGCGTGAGGGCGGGCAGACGCCAGGACAGCAGGGAGAGGCTGGTAATGCGGGTGTTGCCGATCTCAGCGAAATATAACATTTTTTATTTACTTGTAAATAATTTTTGTTTGTATATAACTGTGTTTACGTTTTTCCACTATTATACTACAATATGATTGGTTTCAAATAATGATGTTAGTAAATGCCAGTACAGTGGATCAGTGTGACCACTGGGCCGTGAGTGGAGAGCATGGCGTGGTTAAGTGCATGATCTACCTGAGCTGTTTGGTGGCCACAGGTACAGTAATTCCTAAAAAAGTATTCGCAGTTTTGGCTTTTCGCGGGGGTTTCAGGAACGTAATTCCCGCAAAAAACACGGGATTACTGTACTGTATAAGATTGCATTACAAGTACAGGGTACCTGACTTTGCTTAATAAATGAATTAGTTTCTTATTCAAATTCTCTCATCATTTGTTCTTAAACTCGTATAATATGTCACAATAAAACCTGACATGGTAAACAAAACTACCGTACGCAGGGGCTATACTGAGGTTGTCAGGCTTTTCTGAACAAATTAATTACAATTTTATGAGATTCAGTGTACAGTAGTATACATTAAAAAAATCTATACATTTTAAACAAGGTCAAACATTTACAATCAGTTTAAAATTTATAACCCCTGCATATGGTATATATACAGTACAGTATATACCAAAAGAGCTTTGTAATAAACAGAAAACTTACTAATGCAAACTGCCATTTGAATTGCCTTTTCTTCTGCTATTTTCTAAAGAATTAAAGATGTCTAAAACCTATATTATTCTTCACCTCTTTGTGAAATTTTCATAGGGGTTATCTGTTTCCAATCAATTCACAGGTCTTTCTTCTTTAATGATGAAGTCACACTTGAACTTTGTCATGAAGAGGACCTTTCTTGTCCAGTATCTCAGCTTCATGGAACTTTTATCATGTGTCTACAGTGACCATATTCTAGGAGACACCACTGACACTGAACCTGTCAGAAGAGGAATCCTAGTTGGTAAAGGCCATTAAAATACACATATTATCTCAGAGAATAGATTTGACAATTACTGTATCTATAAATACTGTACCATATACAGGTATTCAGTTCATGTCAGAAGGTTTTGTGCCTGGAATATTTAAGTGTTGATATGCTAAGTGTACATTACTAAAGTTTTATTATAAACATTTCATTAAATAGGCATAAAAACTCCTTATAAGTCATTCATAAAGTTTATTGGTTGATCTTCTGTTAATCCCATGACAATCATATGTTTTAAATCTCCATACAAAACCTATTAGCTATTGTTAACTATACACCCAATTTTCATCCAGTTACTTTAAAAAAATTCCAATCATAAACACTGGATATGGAGGAGTTGGTGGTATAAAGAAGTAATGCATGTATTTTTCACCACTATGGAAGTGTGTTATCCAGTTCATTCTTGCCAAACACAGCAGGTCTCCTCTTGCACATTTACTTTAAGTTCATAACAAAGTAACAAAGAACAGACCAACGGCAAGAATAGGTAGAAAGCTGGTAAGTGCTCCTTCAACTTTTTGAATATCATGTACTGTACAATCAAAGACAAAAGTCACGTCGCGGTTTTGTCCGAAGATTAAATATAACTCATGAAACATTATGAGAGCCCCTACCACAAGGCAGAGCGGCACCAAAAGTTTAGCCCTTCAGCACATGTTTTCACCAAATTTAACGACACGACTTTTGTCTTTCATTGTACATCCCATATACTGTACAAATATGGAAAACCTACCTCCAGAAATATCTAACATCCCTAGAAAAGGTGCAACACAGAGTGACCAAGATGATTCCAGAACTATATCATCTCAATTATCAGAGGAGGACTAACAACTCTTCAGATAAGACAAAATAAGGCAGATTGCAAAGAGACATTCAAAACATGAACCTGGGCCATTTTTTTATGATGCCACGCACCAACACAAGGAGAAGTAATGGTTAATATTTGTTTTAGGACTGCCCTTAATTTAATACTTGGGATATTTATTCTCATGTTTGGGGGCAAATGCTGCTCTTAATTCGGAGTTATTACAATTATAACGTGAAAATTTTTATAATTTGGGCAATTCTCCAGTTCCCTGGAGCGGCTATCTTCTTCACGTGATATACACAGCGGCCTTGTACATAAACAGAAACTTGAGGTTATTTTTTCGTAGAAAATAACTTAATTTTTTACTTCATATAGAGTCCCAAAAAGTTTGGGGGAGGAACAATTGGGATGGGTGACTCTTCCATTAATCTATCGTCCTCTGAATGAACACTCGGCAAGCTTTGAAGTTTTGTTAGTTAATATTCATTTTAAGACCACCCACGACTCTTTTGGACAAAATTATATCTTTGCTGTATATTTTGATGTGTTTTGAATTCACTTTCATATTAATTTCTTGGGTCAATTGAATGTAAGGGAGATACAATATAGTAATGTATTAGAACGGTAAATATTTAGAAGTTGCCAACATCTACAGTACGTATTAACCAAAACTGTGGCATATTTATAATTTTCTATGAAAAGCCTGCAACAGGTATGTTGCTAATAATTTCCGTAATTTATACTGCTAACCATCTCCTCCAGCTTTACCGGAGATTTTTGGTCTATGGCCCAAACGTCCACCCTACATATAGCTCGTGGTCTAAACGTACAAATGTTGTGGCCCAAACGTCCGCCCACCATCAACACAAGCACCAAAAGCACACATTACTGTACTAATATTTAATAAAAAGGATATACATATATGGTAAAATTATTGTTTAGGTTGTAGTGGACGTCTCCCCTACAAACTGCGTAGCTGCCACCACCTGCTACCGCCTCCCTAGCAACCAACCAGATGTTACCGTATCTTAGCAACGGAACTAGTCACCGGCGACTTCTCGGGTTTTCCCAACATGATTCATAGAGGACTGGCGGCTGCTGCTGGGTATATAAGCTGTCTCTCCATTGAGATTCATTCTGACCATTCTTCTACAACAAGCAACACCTCCTCCGCCGCCGCTGCCTGGCTCCCTTCGTTCCTCCTCCGCCGCTGCCTGGCGGCCCTCACTCCCGCCAGTGAGCATGGCGACCCACCAGCTGTCCTTCTCTGAGCTTCCTCACCAACCAACTCTCATTCTGCCCATCTTCCTGAACAAGCAACACCTCCTCCAGCAAGCTCCTAGCTGTCCAGCATTTATTCAACCAGGAGGCCAGCAACAGGCAACATCTTCTCTAACAAAGCTCCTGCACATCTACCTCCTTCAACACGCTACTCACTGAACGTCTCTACCGTGCAGCCCCTCACCACACAGCACCTCCAGCACCAGACTGTCTATCATATAACTTATATTATACAAGAAAACCACCTTAGAGTTTCCTTCCATCCTGAGTGCTAGACAACATTAATATCTCGATACCCCTACAGTACATTATTACCTTCAAATCCTAAAATTCAATGGATGACCGAAAAGATAATAATATCAAATATATCTACATCTACCAATGGACTGTATCACCGTTAGTGGTGCCATCATCAGGGCGAGGTGCTGTAGTCCCTCAACCACAACATCAACACAACCTTTATATTTACTACTTCCAATATAAACATATATTTTGATCATATTACAAATATTACCATGATTTTAATTATTTTATAATATTAAAATGTAATAATATTTCTATGACAGCATTTATCTTATCATATATATTTAAATTATATAAAATTTATTAAAAACTTGTCATAGTATGTAACCCTAATATAAGGTGTACAGGTCGCCACCATGGACGTGGACGTTAAGCCATGTGTTAGTGTTGATGACAAGAGATTAATCCACTCAGTTCAAACAGCCGGGGGGCCACTAGTGAACATTAAACCCTTAATATCTACAGACTCCAAGTAAGTTAATGATGGGTTTATTGGCTCCCAGATGACAGCGCTGCTAGACTACTTCATTTTACTTTCTTCGGTTAGGTAGAACAGTAAAATTGAATCTATAAGAGGCTATAGCTCTGAATTTTTGTTGTGTAGTCGTACTAGACATGTATTGGCACCAGAATGGGTATTATTTTAATTTCGGTCATCCAGGAAATCGTAGGAATTTAACCTCCACAAGAAAGGGTGGGTCTCGTCCCTTTCTTTTAGGGTGGCTACCTTAGGTTAGGTTACATTAGGTTATGGTATTATTTTACTTCTGAACATTGCTCCCTCGAAAGTTATAAACTACTGAAACATTTAGATCTCGCTATTCTGGCCATTTTGATCCCCATATATACATGGCGGAAATGGATAATAACGACACAATTGCTTTTAATTAATTTTAAGTAGTTTTCAGTTATCGTCGCATCACGCATGCGCAATGTTGACTGACATCATCCAGTCGCGACCAATGAGGTATCGATTTCATCACGCATTTTTTTCAACCAATCGCATTTGATTTTTCTCAAAGGGAGCAGCCTGGGTATGGTTTTAATTTCAGTGATCAGTTTCACAATGGCTGTGGTAGAGGTTGGTTGTCGTTTGTGCTCCTATGATTATTTTAAGTTTATTTCCAAGTTTTATGAGAAAGACGATCATTCTATCCAATTCTTACGTATCCCTGGTCCTTCCACTTCTAACTAAGGTACTGTACAGGTATTGTATTTTCGAACATGACGCACCCCAAAGTTTTTAACTACTGAAACATTTAGGTTAGTTTAAGCTAACGCCTACCGAGGGTCTGCCCCCGGCTAGGGGTCAGGTTAGGCCTGCCGGGGTGTCCGGGGATGGAGCCCCCCAGCTAGGAGTTGGGTTAGGTTAGGTTAGGTCAGATGACTCGTTTTTGTTTTCTACCCCACCCAAAAACCCCGATTTCCCATGCTCTTCCTCATTATAGTTGGGGGGGGGGGGCAAAAACTAGCAATTTCCGCCAAAAATGAAGATTAGATTTGTTTAAAGCACACCAAAATACACTGGAAAAACATATTTGTCAACCCCTAGGGACTAATGTCCTAAAGTAAAAATTTACCTTGGTTAGTTTAGGTTACATTAGGTTAGTTTAGGCTACATTATGTTAGGTTAGGTTGGCTATCTAAATGGTGTACCTCCAACTCAGCCCATCTAAAATAACCAACTCAGCCCACACAGAGAATATTTACATAAATATATATTCTCTACCTAGGATCATAAATCACTTACAGCGGGCAGGATATGAAGGATGAGGAAAACTGCAAGGTACAACAACGTGAACAAATTATCATATGACACTAAAGTGATGCCTCTACGTGTTTTGTACGTGAAGAAATTAATTTACTGTAAATACTCCTCCAAAAAGTATGCCAAATCACTGTTTCATATGTGTTTTTACAACCGACCTACTCAGTCCGAGCTTCAACAAGGTTACTTTCATTGGTTCCACATATCAAAATAAGTACTTTCTGTTTAATATGGTGGGGGTCCTGGGGTGGAGGCCCCCCCCCCTGCTAGGAAGTTTAGTAAAGTTTGGTAGGCCTCTTTGCTTGGTTAGGTCAGGTTCTATTGGGTTCTGTGCATTTTCGTATCATATTTATTACAGTGGTCCCTTGGTTAACGAGCACAATTCGTTCAAGAAGGTTGCTCGTTAACCGAAACCATTGTTTCAATGGGTTTTTGGGTAATTGGTTCCAGCTCATGGAAAAATTGCCTAAAATCAACAAAAAAGGTATTACACTTACTTTGAGGTGTGTATGTAGAAGGCTCCTGGATGATGATGATGGGAATGAGAATGGGGGTGGGGGAGAAGAGAAGGCATTGGGATGGAAGAGACTTCACCCCATGGCGCCATTTCACCCATAAAATGTTAGTTCTCTTGGTGTAATTCAAGATTATTTTCTTTAAATCAACACTGCACTGCATTATATATTGTTAATATGTAAAATAAATTTCAAATTGACCAATAATTTGCTTAGAAACACAGAAAAAAGCATTTAGTTGAAGAGAGTCAAGAGCAAGATGTTACCTCCACTGAAAAGACACAGAGACTGACGCCTGTATGGTGTGTTGACAGGCTGTGTGGCGTGCAAAAAACTAGCTTACTATACTTCAATTATGTTCAATAATTGTTAAAATGACTAAAAAATTTAATATAAAACTTTTAAAATTATTGAATAGTATAAACTTCTTGATATTTACTAAAATAGTAAGGAATTTAAGCCCTAGAACCGATTACTGTATTGGCGGACCAATACTACAGCTGGTGGACCGCCAAAAGCAAGCGAAAACATGTTGAGGTCGGCTCGTAAAAAACTCGTTAATCGAGGGATTGCTCGTTAACCGAAGTTAAGAATCTTATGGAAGGTAACTCATTAACCGAAATCTCGTTAACCGAGGTGCTCATTAACTGAGGGATCACTGTACTTTCTATCATCCAAAGAACATCTGTGGAAAAATGAACGAAATTGAACAACTCATTTTGGTGTTACCCATCTGCTGCAGGATTACTAAGGAAAATGTAGTGTTAAATCACTAGGAAAAAACTCAAACCTTTGAAAATCTGACCTAATCTAAAGTGACGAATACTGTACAGTAATAAAGAAGCTTATCTTATTTAATGGATTGAGGGGCAATAAGTGATTCTCTTCTTGTTTTTGTACACAACCAAGGTAATCATATGCAACATTTTTGTTCTGAATCTAACACTTTTAGGGGTTTTCAGTCTTAACTGAACTGAAGTATTTAATATACCATATGTCTTGAAAATGTCAATTGCAGCTTCGTTATTCTCAAGAACGTACTGAATGGTTTTCCTTTCAGTCGTAGAGTATCTTTCACACAAGGAAGCAATAACGGGAATGAAAGGCCACTTCTAGATGAAGTTTTTGTGCATATGTAATTCTCGTGAGAAAAAGTACTGTCCTTTGATTGGTCAAAGCTGATCATTCTGAAGCTCAAGTGAATGAGAATTGAATATAAATCCTGCAAAAGTGGTTTTAGTGAACTTAAAATCTGTCACAGTTGTTGTAACATGATCTTGTCTATATCACGTACAGAAAAAGTAAACGCGTCTTGTTTTCTTTGAAATGAAAAAAATATATATATATTATGTGCTCCTCCATCAGTTAAATAAGGTAAGATTTATGTAAAAATGAGTACAGTACTCTACTGTATTACAATTGGTTAGGTCAGGTTCTGAATATTTTTTTTTTTTTGTGTGTGTGTCTTAATCCCTCATTTTCTTTCATTTTCAAAGCCTTGCTTACTTTGTGAAAAACCATTGTCATATCTCCATAAATATACATCAGCGCTGAGAATAAAGGTCATATTAGCCGAATTACCATGTGTTTCTAAATATTAATGTTTTCACCTTTGAGTAGCATTTCCTTATAGTACTGTACTTAAAATACATTACAGTAGTTAAATACTGTAGTAATTTATTACTGTTGCAGAATTTTGTTTTCTTTTTTTACAGATTTTTATTGACAGCATCAGAGAGAAATATCAAAGTATTTGGGACTACCACTGGAAACCTTTTAAAAGAGTTTATCCACCATGAGGCCAAGGTCAGTGGTCAATCATCATTTTGAGCTTCACTTGACTTAAATCTTACTTCTATTAACATTATACAAAATGGCCAATGTTTAGAAAAAATTCTAAAGATGGACTAATAAAACCAGTTAATTTTTTAGAGGTATCACAAACTAGTAGGACCTATTTTAACCTAACAAAAGCTACCCCAAGGTTATACATTTAGTCCACTCTCCTTTAATATCATGAAGGTTTAGTGCTCCTGGTCATGTAATTTTTCAAACATCAGCCATTTTGCAAAATTCATGGCCATCTTGCTGTTATAATATTTATTTTATTTATTACTAGATGGGGAACCTGGATTGTGTTTTGTTTTTTTAAGGGATGTTCTATACCCAGTGCCCATGACTACACTGTCAGCTACATTGCATCCACTACACAATTTACACATACCTGGTACATCCACTACACTATGGTATTACCTGTATTTACATAGCATCCACTGCACTATCATCTCAACTATGTCCACTTCACTACATCTATTACACTATATCAGCTATATTATCACTTTAAAGTGGGGCATCAACCCCTGCATGGCTAATCTCCCCCACAAATGGCCACAAATTGCCAAATCCACGAATAACATTTGCGAAGGGAACATTTTTACTGTGTACAAAGACATGTATATTCCCTTTATGTGTTTGCCATTAGGACAGTTATTTCTTTTACCTGTAGTATTATATATGTGTGTGTAAACACACACACACAAATTTTAGGGTAGACTGTCACGTTTTTAATAAATTTCTTTCTGATTATTTGTGAGAGTATTTTCCCATTATTTTTTATTTGTATGTGTTTTAATAATAATAATAATAAACGGTTTATTAATAAAGTTGCAGCCGGTGACTGAAAATATACAAACTTACATGTGATTTAGACATCATAATATACATTCAATACATTTAAAGGGTTGTACAGTACATAAATCAGGAGCTGTTTATTATTTTAACAACAGATGGGATGGCGCTGTTCTTATATCAGTGCAGGCTCTTATGGGCTGAATTTTGTTGTAGTGGCAGACTGCTAGAGGTGGGCGGGGGACTGCCAGTGGCAGTAGGTGGCGATGACAAGGATGGTGCAGTAGTCCACTGCCAAATCCTACTAGTGCGTGGTGGTGGAGGTCTCTGTGGGATGGCATTTCCAGGGTGGAGAGAGCATTGTTGTAGCCCGAGTAGTCTGTGCCGAGCATGATTCTGCAGGCCCTCTTCTGTACTTTCTCTAGCTGACGTTGTTGGGTAGAGTTGAGAGAAGACGACCAGGCTGGTGACGCATACATTAGTTTGGGGAGAATAAATGCATTGTAGATTCTCCTCAGCTCTGGCGTGGGTGCCCCAAGTGACCTGAGTCTTCGTAGCATGTAGAGTCGGTACGAGGCTACCTTGATTGTGTTGTTTACATGAGCCTTCCAGTCCAGTTTGTGGTCTATAGTTACACCCAGGAGTTTGGCAGACTGCACTAACTGGAGAGGATGGGCACCCACTGTGACTGCTGGGGCTTGCACTGGAGTGGTGGCGATATTGAAGTGCATAACTACGGTTTTGGTGTGATTGATGGTAACCTTGTTCTCCGTAATCCATGCCTGTAGCCTGTCCAGGGTGCCTTGTAGCGATGAGTAGTCCGGTGAGGTGTTGTCCACTGTAACCCCCACAGTGCATTCATCTACTTACTTCCACCTGTGAGGAGTGTCCGATAGAGGTGAGGTGTAGGAATGTGGAGACAGAACCCTGGTACCTCACTGCCTGACGATGCTCACTCAGGAAATCAGTGAGCCACGAGACCAGGTTGGTGTTTTGTGTGTGCGTGTGTGTGTCTACACTCACACATGTTTACAATACAGGTAAAGGAAATTGCTGTCTCTAGAACGAATGGCTCCTTGTCCCAGCTGCGAAAATGCCGGCAACTTTAAAACTACCCACAGACATTCTTGGGTACATCCAGGGTGTCATCCGCCAAGTAAAAATCCGTGAACTTGGGGGCCTCCTGTACTGTACACTACAGGGTCAACTTCCCCTTATAATTTATTTATTTATTTATTTATTTATTTATTTTAATAGGTTCCACATTTGAGAGAAAGGTAGGGCTGACCCCGAAGTCCCACCTATTAGTACTTCTGGGGTGTATTCACCTATCAGTGCCAAATTTAAACTCTGCCTTGAAAACTGTAGATACATTTTGTAAAAAGATAAACAAACAGAGACTGTGCATTATTCCAGGGTAGCCAGAACTGAAAGAAAAAACACATTCTCTTTTCATTCACTTATACTTTTACTTACTGTATATTTTATTTACCATGCTGGTCAAGCTCCAGAAGTGGCTGTAGGGGACTGATGGTCCTTGAGTTGTGCCACAGTAAAAAAATATAAATATTTGCAGGTAGGTGGGTAATCTTTCATTACTGTACCTCAGGAAGTAGCAATTCTGCCTTGTAATCTAAGAGGTCACTTGGAAGTCCTACATACAATGCCCAGTTCCCACTCTGTAAAAGTGGGTTGGTGATAGGAAGGGCATCCATCTGTAAAATTTGCTTTAGATTTGCCTAATAGCAAACATGAGATTGCTGTTGGGTAATCACAGCTAATCCATGCAAACTTGGAAACCTCTTATACAGGGTTATTAGGCAAATGGCATGCTGTTCTCAGTCGTGATGAGGTTACATTACATTAACTGGAACAAGAGGTTCCAGGCAAGTTGCCTCCCTGGCTGCTTCTTAGTACAAAAGGTAACAAAGGTAAATCACCCAGATTTTATTAAGGTATGGGAGTGCATTCTATGCCATAATGTTTTTGAAAATATTGCTTATTAAAATTTCATTGAATTTTATTGATGTTCAGTTAAATATTATCATGTAGAGTGGAAGTCTGAATCACTGCATGGGGGCATGTGACATGATTTTTGGAGTACTGTACAATGTGAATAACTTCCCAAGGGGAAGTATGGTAGGTGAAATATAGATTAACATCAAGGCATAGTAAAAATAGGTCTTCTGAGTAGTACAGTAATTTCCTTGGCAAAATGAAATGAGGTTTATAGAGTAACAGCCTCAAAACAAATGGGTTTTACACATCATGTATGGTTGTACTGTACTACTGTCATTATTATTACCAATATGTATCTTTAATCTGTTGAACTTTGTGTATCTTCAGGTCATTGGTGTGATGCCATCCGGGATTGTAGATGACCAGTATGTGTCATGTGATGAGAACGGTGTTGTGTGTTTCTGGGATTTACATAATGAAAATAGAAATGAGGAAATACAAGTAAGTACTGTACAGTAATTACAGATAATACATAGCTATGTAAGATGATCATTGATATTTTCTTATGATTAAGAAATTAAAATAGTTTTGATAATGCAGTATTTTCTGTTTTGTTTTTTTTGCAGAAGTTTGCCTTGATCAGGAATGAAAAAAAACTCAAGTCAAAGGTTGTATCCTTCCATTTCTGTGCTAAGCTTAAAATATTGTTTGCAGTACATCAACGTGACAATGAGACACAAAAAGGATATTTGCTCAAGTACATGTTTCCTCCTCTCGACACCATTAAACATTCTGTTGTTTCTCCAGATGTATTGCTGGGTCCAGGCCAGGTAACAAACACTTTCTTAGATTACTTATGACCTTTTAATGGATTATACATCCCAGGGCAATGTTGCTTTATGACAATACAAAAACTTAAGAGACATTTTTATACATGTGTATATATATATATATATATATATATATATATATATATATATATATATATATATATATATATATATATATATATATATATATATATATATATATATATATATATATATATATATATATATATATGTGTGTGTGTATTTCTGAATATGTACTGTAGTTTTCAGTTTCAAATTCTGGGGATTACCTAGCACATCTGTCACCAGAGGGACTCGTCATTTATGGTGTGGGTGTCAAACTTCAAGATTGTAAGCGGAGAAGGTAAAAATTTAACTGTATTTTACTGTATTATCCATTCTTCCCTTGTTATTGTGAGGAGTAGATGAAGGGGGTACAGGAACCTCATAACAAAGGGACGATGGATTGCTTGGAGAATATACTGTAGTACTGTATACAGTTCCAATTTAGATTTTGACAGAAAAGGGCTAAGACAACAATGAGGTACAGTAGATTCTGTACTTCCACCCATGCTTGATCATATCCTCAACCTGCATATGCTTCATATCACTTCACTGTTCACCCAGCTGGGATTATTAGCAGAAACTACTGTACTGCAGTTCTTGATGTTATTTAAATAAAACTGCTTAAATGCGATCATACACTAATCAGTTTGCAAGGTTAGTTGTTGTTATTTACAATTATTTGAGGCTGAAGGGAAAGGCTTTGAATCATCATTAAACTTTTTGATGAAAACACCAGGTTGGTTTCTTATTGTGCTTGAACTCAATATAAAGCCTATTCTTGTTCTTTGTTCAGGTGGGGCATAGGGCCAGATAGAATTCATATTTTCAGTTCTTGTATTCTATTTAAAAGTGAATTAAGTTTGGATAGTTTTGTGTTATGATTATTTTTATAGAAGATCAAGATTTCTGTTATGCTAGGGATTTTTGGGTGTTTTTTGTTAACATAATATTTCAAGGGGGTTACAGTATTAACTTTTTCATGTACGTAATGGTTATTGTTAAAAAAAATGATTAATACAACCATGAAATAACAAAACTCAAATGTACACTTACATTTTTCATAGAAGTACTGTACTGTACTGTACTGTACAGTATATCATTTTCTGTTCAGAAATTAATTTTTTATAAAATATATTTTTTATTTTATGGTCTTTTTTCAGGCATCTGGTTGACACTCGCTTCCTGACTTGTCTGGCCTTTCATCCTACTCAAGATGTGATAGCAACTGGGGACATTACAGGACGTATTGTTCTTTGGTATGAGTTTGCATCCGCCACACCTACAAAAATGGAACTCCACTGGCACATGCTGCCAGTGGTTGATCTTGCATTTTCTTTCACAGGTTAGTTGAATTAATCTCTACTTCAGTGGGAGGTGATGTATAAGTAATCTCCCCATTAGCTGGAAAAAATCTCACATCCACAGAATTTTCCAGGTATTGGTGAATGTTTCTACTTCTAAACTATGCATCTGGGATGGAGCACCGTTGTTATAGGGAATTAACTGCAGTCAGACAGACACATTGGTATTTATTTATACAAACATTACTGTACATGTACAGTATATTGAAAATAAACAAATTACAGTATACTACTGTACTGTATATATGTACACTATACTGTACTCACCAGCAGATGCTGTTGTCTTGAGCTTGTGATGCAGGCTGGCCAAATGGTGATATGATGCAGGATGGCTTACCTTTATCCTGTACCATCTACTGTAGCAGGTGTTGCTAACTGTTACTCTCCTCTCCTTCTCCATGAAGGAGGAATTGTACACACACTGTACGAGTATACTATACATACACCCTCTACACACTAACCTAAAGGGTAAACACTGTCCACTCTGCTATATACAGTACTGTATGTACAGTACTTCTCATTTACAGAGTGTACAGTATAGTGCTGTATACGTAACTGTATTCACTTTTTACGTCTTAACAGTATTCTTGGCTGATTGTATCCTGGTACAGTAATGTACAGTACAGTACTACTTCATAACATAGATCATTTGCAAAATCAACAGTGAGCGAATGAACAAGCTTGTACAATGGTAGCAAAAAATGAACAGTGTCATGATGCTAGAGTGAAGAGATAGACCGAAATATACATCAGCCAATCATAATGCATCCCATGCAATCACATGACAGTAGTACCCAATCATAGCACACACATATTGAGTTTACCCACCCACGGGTTTGACAAATGTTGGCAATCTCTTGGAAATTTGTTTGACTTCCCAGAATGAATGGAATTTTCTCGGAATACTCAAATAAAAATCCAGGTAAAGGAAAGTTCCAGGGATCAAATATTCCAGCTAATTGGGGATATTACTGAACTAGTTTTAGTTTTTTCCATCACACAGATAAAGTATATTGGAAACACAAACTTTAATTGTTTGTTATATGTTTATTATCTATTTATTCATTTATATATTTATACCTTGTATATTTTTTCTTTTTCAGGAAATGTACTTTATAGTGGTGGAGGGGAGAGTGTGCTAGTGAAGTGGCAACTCACTGAACAGAAGCGTTACTTTCTTCCACGCCTGGGGATGCGCATCAAGTTCATAGCCACAGATACACTGAACAATTATGTAGTAGCTTCACTTTCTGATAATGGTATGTGTTGATCACTGGTTTTTCATGCACCAAAGAAAACCTGTTCAGATCTAGAAGTTTTATTTAGAAGTACATTATAAGTATAGGTTTAGGTAATTGTAATGTCGGGTACCGGAGGGAAGGGCCCCATTGAAGGTCCGACGACGGTCGAGTCACTCACCAGTTCTCAGTAGACTGTATCAGCAGACTGTAGGACCCACATTTTGACTGTAACCACCCGATGAGTGTCTGTGGGATAATGAGACCCTTGCATTTAGGACTCGATTGTTCTTTATTCGGTCAAAACCTGCAGAGTACATATTACATATATAACATATGAGATAACAATTTTACTCGTACGTTTCTTCACTATTAACAACTACATATGATATATTTGAGTAGAGTAGGATGTTAAACCATATAAAAACTTACGTGTTTCGGGCCTAATGTAGGACTTATTAGCTCCCTGACTTGTTAGCTCACTGGACGGCTAGAGACTATCTTCTGAACCCCACAGGGAGCGAGTTAACCCCGAGGCGAGGGCCATCTGTTTCACATTTAACACCTCGGCAAAGTTCGTTGTAAACACTCACTCAGTCTCTCTCCTGTCTCCTTTTCTCTCTCTCTTCTAGTTTATCCTACTGTGGCAGTAACAGTAATAATTAATGCACCATCAATATAATACCTATGGAGTGACATAACTGTATTACAGTGGTCCCTTGATATAGCACAAGAATGGGACTGAGAATTACCATGAAATGGTGAATCACATCATATTGTTTTATATATTTCAATAGGGAATACAGGGTATGGGACTGCAGCCCCCTAAAATATAAAGAATTTCCTTGAAGACTATATTTTTTCACTTCAACACTAATCCCATCATTTCGAAACACTTTAACAAATTATAATTCACCTTGAGTCTAAAGAACTGCTTCTTGGACTATAGTTGTTCAAATTCAAGGTGAGCTGATGGGGCAAAAGAACTCTGGGTGTCATGACTCATAAGTGATCTGCGTAGATGTTGCTGGCCAGTGCTGCCGTTAAGTGAGGGCATGGAAAACTTTTACGTTTTCATCAACATAAGAACATAAGAATGGAGGAAACTGCAGCGAGCCTATTGGCCCATACTGGGCAGTCCCATTTACACCCAACCTCTATCAGGCTTGATTGTCTTTGTTTGACATTAAACCATAAAACATATTTGATGAAACAAATTAAATTTATATGATTCTTCTCTTAGAATTGAAAAATTTAATAATTATCTAATGATCATTATACACTAGAGGTTATAGCCTCAAGTTAAAAACGTCACAAGTACTGTTTACTATATAAATAATATACAGTATATATATATATATATATATATATATATATATATATATATATATATATATATATATATATATATATATATATATATATATATATATATATATATATATATATATATATATATATATATATATATATATATATATATATATATATATATATATATATATATATATATATATATATATATATATATATATATATATATATATATATATATATATATATATAATTTTTTTTTTTTTTTTTTTTTTAGGCATTGCAGTGATTTCTTCAAAGGAGTTCAGATTTGAGGGGATCATCCAGGGTCTCTCAATGAACATAGAGAGGTCCCGTTCTTTTCCTGCAGGAATTATTTATGACCCACGCACCAGGGCTATTATCTTAAATGGCAGGATGGGTCATGTTCAGTTTTATGACTTTCACCACAGCAGCCAGCTTTACCATGCAAGTAGAACTAATATTTATTATGTACTATCACTAGAATATTTGTGGGTACATCATTTCTGTTTGTTATCTTAGACCTTTTATGTTGCTGTCTACACTTACCTTGCACCACTGTACCTTACACTAACCTTTTTCTTAGAGGTTTCAGTACCCATTCATCCACCCCTCACAATAATGGAGGGTATGGAAAGATAGTAGATACTGCACATAGAATATGATTATACATAAGTCATATCATCATAGTAAATGGTGTAACAGTAAAAATAAATGAAACTTCAGTATAGTTAAAGATATAGTTATACACTGGAGTCTTTCCACTCATTGTACAGTATTTAGATACAGCTCCACAACTAAGGAAACCTTTATTTACAAATTTACTCCTTTTCTCTTCATTCAAGTGAGTAAGGTCAAAATTTAGGAAAGAAGGAATCCCCCAAATTTTCAACAGGATTCATGCACATCTTTGTATCCCAGAAAATGATTTTGCTTCAAGCCAGGGGAAAATCTGTGTGGGCTAAAAGTAGATAATACCCTGGCAAGGAAAAAGGATTACTGCCGACTGTCATTACAGTATTACAGATTAGAACAACATTAATTCCTTGTGTATGGGATCCCCTCTGGCTGAATAAAATAGTTTGGCATTAGCCAAATATGATACTAAATGTGGTGTCCCCATAGTGAAGGGGTTAAATACCGAAGGCAATTCAAGTTCCTCCTGGTTTACTTCCTTGTTTTCCCCTACACTGGTCTTGTAATACTGAAGAGATATTAGCTGATACATTTCCAGGGTTGTGAGCTGTTTAATTACTAGTACAATAATTTACTGTACTGTCCGGAATTTTGGTAATGCCTTCTATAATCAGCTTATAATGGAGATTAATAAAAATACTCTTTTTTTTTCCAGTTGGATATAACAATGAATAATTTCTACACTCAAGAGAGGTTTGAGGTAATTCAGAACACGGATGTGGAGCAGGTGGCTATTTCCCAAGATGGGCATTGGCTGGCCACCTTTGAATACAGAGAGGATTTGCAAGCCTCTTCAGAACTCCGTCTTAAATTCTGGAACTTTGCAAAGGAGGACCAGAAGTAAGTATGATTTTCTTAATTGCATTGTTAGTGAGGTCACACACACATATATGAGTAAAATGTGTTTCTTGGTGCTCCAAAGTGATCAGGGGACAATTGTGTTACCCCTTCATTCACTGCACTGGGATTTATCAACAAACATTCAAGTGATCATTACTATAAATGGTTAGCACATTTTGATCCAGAGGTTTATTCCAAGGAAAACAAACAAGATTTTGAGTAACAATCTTCAGTGGAAAAGATTGGTTGCCCAGATTTCAGTGCCAAGACTCGATGCCAACCGTTACAAGTAGCCTGTGGTTATGTCCACAGGTCCTAGTGTCACGGCTGACCTGAGCCATGGGAGGGTCGCTGACTCGCTGCCAACCATTACCAGTGGCTATGACCAATGTTGACATACACCCACTAGTGAAATACTCCCTGTTCAGTTTAACGTGTGGCGATGGCTATCCGAGCAACAGTGCAATTATGTTATTAAAATCACTGAACATATTTCATGCTTGAAGTCACAGACAAGGACATCATATACAGAGACTCGTCAGGATGCACCCTCTCCCCTTCCTTAGCCACTTCACTAATGGTAACAACTGAGCAAACTAACAGTCAATTTGCAACTATACGTTAGACACTGCTTGACACTCCCCCCATCTTGACACAACCTATCTTCCTGCATACCTACTAACCCCCTCTCCCACTGACTTAGTGCAAGAATTTGAAGTAGCAAGGCAACTGGACAAATTCAGGATCAAGTGCCCCACCACCCCTATTGACCTACTAATGAAACTCTACAAGGAGTTTTCCCTAGACCTAACTAAACCCTTCTGCTCCATTATTAATGCTTCCCTCAGTCAAGCAAGATGTCCAGCTAACTGAAAGACTTCATATGTGTCACCAGTGCCAAAGTCAACAAGCCCACTATCCTTAAATGAGTTATGGCCCATTGCTATTACTCCAATACCCAGCTGAATCTGCATAAGTTTCGTTTTTGACTGTGCTTTTGCTGATATTGCAGGCACTATAGATCCTCAGCACCCACTGTCTTGTCAGCTTTCTCGATTGCATATACATCAGAGCTTTTTCTATTGTTACTGTGCCACTTATAGTATGTTACTTGTACGAGTATATTGTCAATCAAGTACAGCTCCTCCCCAACTTAAGACTTACTTGGCTTACGACCACCTGCACTTACGACCTGCCTCAGTCGTACCAAAATTTTGTCAAATTACGTATTTTCGAGTCCCAATGTCAGTGTACTGACAAAATTTTCACTTGTAATTCACTTTAAAATGACTGGCAAGCTTAAAAGTGAGAGTTTTGTGGTGCTGAGAAGAAAAAGGGACACCCATTTTTAGATTTTCTATGTATTATTTAAGCATTTTCGACTTACAACCATTTTGACTTACGACCTGGATTTGGGTCCCTAACCCCGTCGTAAGTCGGAGAGGAGCTGTAATCCATTCCCCAATTATGTAACTTTCATCATCACTGTTGACTATATTTTCAGCCCTTTGGCTGCCAAGATTATTTCAATGAACCATTAATTATTATTACTATTACTTGTACACACACACACACACTTTTCTTGTACAGTGTATTTAAATTTATAAGATATACAGGTGCTACAGCATTTTAAGCTCAAATTCACTTAATAACTTTATGCAAAAGGGAGGATCAGTTAATACTTCATTGATTTAATGTTTGCATTTTGTACATATTCAAAATTAATGAATATGATCTTATGAAATAAAGATAAGTCCGTTGCTATATATACAGTAGTGTTAAATATTATTTTTATATGTAATTAATTTTTTATTTGCCTTATATTTTGGACAATATTGAGCAACCTCTGTGTTTAGATCTTTAACACCTAAACTTGTCTTCAGCTGGTACCTCAACACCTCTATCGAAATGCCACATGATAAGTTTGTTAATGGCATCATGTTCCAGCCAACTCCAGCAGCAGGACAGACACCACTCTGTGTTTCATGTGGAGATGATGGAAAGTTAAAGATTTGGAAGGAAAATGATACTTCTGATTTGTATGGTAAGTGTTTGTGTGTGTGTGGTTTTTTTTTTCATATGAGATTTCTTCACATGAAGAATATACACTGTAGCTGCACCTAAAACATCTTGAAATAAATAATTCTGCCCTTCATGATACAAGGCAGGGTCGATGGAGTCATGTATATTAATACGTACTGACACGTACAAACATTCTCAGATTGAGTCAATAAGAAACATCAAGTGAAGTATATGCAGTACCGTACAGTAATAATTTTATTCCTGTACTTACAAGAAACTGGATGAGATGGGAAACAAAGTGAATAGTATGAAATACTAAGACAACATCTATAATAATTACAATAAACCCTTCCCATTCACGGGTTTGCGATTCGCAATTTCGACGATTCGCTGTAAGCAGATGGTGGCTAGCTTGCAAGCTTTTCAGCACAGTACAACGAGTCACCCCACACAGTATCTCGTGTTGTACTCTCAAAACTGTAGTGCTTCTGTGTGAAATGGCCCCTAAAAGACTGCCTAGTGTCAGTGCGAGTGATGCTAGTGGAGTGAAATGTAAGAAGCAGAAGTCAGTGATGTCTCACAAAGAAAGTTAAATTATTAGGCAAGTTAAAGGAGGGGATGAGTGGTGCCACGGCTGGACGGTTGTTTGGTACAGGTATACAGTAGTGCACTAAGGTACTATAAGTTTGCTGTTTGCACCATTCCTTGGAACCTATCCCTTGCGAATAACAAGGGTTTACTGTACAGTCGACCCTTAACATACACGGGGGTTAGGTAACAGAGATACCCGCGAATGTTAAGAATCCGCGTATTTTTGCTGCCCCCCTTAAAAACACCCCTGGCCCCCCCATGTCCTTATTTAAGTAAAGAAAAACACAATGTACATGTTTACAAACACTTTATTTAATATTAAAATGCAAAAAGAGCTATAAAAACAATTAATAATGTACTGGCTGGCATCCACTCGTCCCTGTTCCCGCCTCCTGAGCGTTAACACTCGTCCCCGCTCTATCCTTCTGCCTCCACATCGTCACTCCTGCCGACAACAAACACAAATGTTTTGTGAATAACTGCACCTCCACTTCCTATGTACAGTACTGAACTGTACTGTGCTGTGCATTTTTGCAAACAATAAACATAGCAAGAAAAGCTATAAAAAAAAGAGATAAAAATTTCACTTTACTGTACCGTACCTATCCTCGGCGACAGGAGGGGGTCATCGTCACTCGTTTCCATAACGGGTGGTGAAGTGGGGGCGACGATGGGTTCAGCTGCTTCCTCACTGCCGCCAGTGATGGATGGTGTTGTATCTCTCCTTCGGCGATCAAAGAACATGGTGATGGGGAGTTGTCGTCTCTTTTTTTTCATCTCTTCCATGATGTTTTTGTATGGAGCAAAAACGTCATCCATCCCTTGCATGAATTTCAGGGCACGCACCATGGAGGGGTCCATACCATAGGCCAGGTTTTTCAGTGCCTCAATATACCTGGTCATCTCCCCCCCAACTTCTCCAGCGTTATTTCTTGTAGCTCTTTGATGCTCTCTTGGGGATTGGTAAATGTGAGTAACAACTACAATACTGATGTCAACACAAGCGTGGTTACAGCGAAACCGACTGACTGAGGGAGCGCGGGAACGCAGGGTGGCGTGGCGGTCGATGTGTGTGTGTGTGGTGTGTGGTGTCGCGCGCGATTTGAATGTATATTCCTCCGGTGGCAATCCGCGTATTTGCAAATCCGTGCATGTTAAACCCGCGTATGTTAAGGGCCGACTGTATATTACTCAAGTAATGCATTAACTCATACCATATAATTGGAGGTATGCTCTACGAAAAGTTAATGAAATAAGTAAGTATACCAGTACTGTACTCGTAAAAAAAAACACTTTAGATTAGTATATTGTGTTTTCACTATTACTTCAGAAAAATTATGGAAATAGCAATAAAAGATTTAATTTAAGGGTTTTTATTGGTAAATTAAAGAATGGGACCCCAAAAAATTAAATTTGAAAAAAATATTTTCAAAATTTTGGGGGGAATAAAACCCTTTTATAAATTGAAGACTACCTTTATCTTTTATGTTTAAATTACAGTCCATTGTGTTTGACATTTGGCTTCATAACACAGCATATTCAATATATAGCTTTATGATATGCAGTAGAGAAGTGAGAAGATAAAATTCTGGATAGTGCTGCAGGTGCATGGTCATCCTTGGTAATTGTGTATATATAATAATCTCTTAAAGTTATGTATCTCCTGATATGTACAGTATTCACATAATAAATCCTCTTTACAGGGAAAAAAAGTTCCTGGGGTTGCTCTGGCACAGGCTTTTACCGGCACCTACCAGCAACAGCAATATGTATATCTCCTGATGGCTCACTCATTGCTGCTGGTTTTGGCAGCATTCTTACATTCTGGCTGCCTGAGAACTGTCACCTCAAAGGCACATTGTCACAGCCATATCTCACTGAGAAAATAAAGTAAGGAAATAAGTCTTTGTGGTTCTGTCTGTTGCACTGTTAGAATTCACTCTATGAGCATTGTTAATGGATTCAAAACAATACTGCTTATACAGAAATATGAGACATTGTATACATTGGTTCAGGTATAAAATATGGGCACAGTTATTCCCATGTGGTGATGGTGAAGCTTTTAGATGATGTGGAAGCCATGTTTCACTCATCAGGAGTTTAGGATCTTTTTGTTTATACCGTAGGTTTCTTTTAAGTATAGTACAGTATGTATATATTTAATTTTCTAATTAGATATAGTTTATATTATGAGGCTTAATGTATTTATCACTAAATACAGAGTAAAATAATTGTAAACTAAATAAGCGCTACTGAAGAATTAATTGCCATATTGTACGGTGTAAAAGATGAACTCACATTTCAGCAGGGAGTATTTAGGAAAAAACTTTTGAGTGTATTTTTTGCCTGTAGCTAGAGTTTTCTTAAAATGAAGGTCAAGTCAGATACAAAGTGTTAGTACACTACTCACTCAGCTGTAATTGTTATGATCGTTACTCGTATTGAGATGTTCATACTAAGCACTTCAAAAACACGAAATGGCAATTGAATTTAAGTCTTTGTTGCACACAGGTAGATAATGTTATGTACTAGTGAGACATTACAAACGCACAGTGATGGCTGTCAGCATTATTTACCGTTATCATAATTTTAGGTTTCTTTCAAAATATAAAGGATGTTTCTTAATAAAAATTATAAGATAAATGTTGCAGGATTGACATAAAGAGTTTAGAAATGGTTACTGCTTACCTCTGTAGAGTTGGGTGTTGTTAGATGTTAATCATCTCAGGTTATCAGTTGGTATAATTCCAACTTTTATATTTACAATAAAACCTTTTTTAATTAATGAAAAGTAATAATGTGATTTAGTAAACAATAATATATTTATAATTCTGAAGTTGGGCTATAAGTAGAATTTAGCCTGTAGAAACAGCAACTGGGGGCTCATTAGCCTATGGGAGACCATAAGTTCACATATAGACCAAGTTTTTGTTTGCCATTTTTCAGAAAAAGTTAGTCTCATATGTTATAAAGTTTGGTATTTTAAAATTTATTATATAGACATGTTTAAATTTAATAATTACTTTGTTTTATGTACAGACAGATTGAATTTGGTCATGGTGAAGGCTGTGGCTCCATGGTTGTAACTCGCACTGAGAACTGGGTGTGTTCATGGGATCTGTTTACCTGCACACTCTACTGGAGAGTCAGCATTTCCTCAACATGTTTAGCAGCTGATCCACTGTCTTCTCACATGGCTGTCTTCTCAAAGAACTGTCATGGTAAGATTTTTTCTTGCTGAATGATAATTATAGATGATCCATAATATGTCCACCTGCAGTTAATGCTTTTGAGTCAGCTCTTGTCAGCCATGCAGGCAGTACATCACATACAGGTTCAGATAGCAAAGGTAAGTTGTATCTCTTCTTTCCTTAAATTACATTATCACCTTTATGATCACACAACTTTTTAAGGTACCTCATTGTTACCTGTACATTTATGTACAGTCAACAAAATTATTATGTTATAAAAAGTGATACACCAGACCAAGAATTTTGAACATCATGGG